CAATTATTATTTTTACAGCGTTACACGACGGCCGATTCCGTATTAAAATTAATTGTTGCTCTTCGCCCTTTACAGCGGTAAATATTACTCTCCGAGCTCGACAGGTTCTTCGCCCACCCTACTAAACGCGCAATATCTTATAAATGATTTTGTAGAAAAAATTGTAATGGAAAAAATTTAAATAATCGTCTCGAATTCCGAGTTACAGTGTAATGTTGCAATAATTATTATTATCGTTTACCGTAATAATAAAAATAAAAAATGAGTTTTTTGGCCACTGTCGCGCTGACATGCGTTCGAGATAATAATATTCTATTCAGTCATCTTCGAACGTTCAGTTACTGCGAATAACTTCAGACACTTCCGGCAAGTCTGTTTACATCGTTTTCACGGTATGTACAAAATTGTAAGCTCACTACGATACACAACAACAGCTGTCGGTGACGATTATAGACACTCGGTGTGCTGTGCACAAACATTAAAACCGGCGCGTATGTGCAGTAAGTATGAATGCAGTAAGATACTCTTGACAACTGTTACGGGAAAGATTAATATCTTACGGTTTTACGCGGACAAGAAGGGTGGAACCTATGCCTTCATTTTGGTTTTTTTTTTTTTAATGTAGTTTCAGCACTTAAATTTCGAAAATCAGATTAAAAGTACATCAAGCGTGTACACACGTAATTCCGTCAAAACACTGTCGTGACGCGTGCGTGTCAATAATATCATGGTACATGTTTTGCGCCTGTCAATCATTATCGTAGGCAGCTTAGACGACATACACGCGCACTGTGTAGTCTACCTTGCAGCCTTGTATAATTGAACACTGCGAATCGTGTAGTTTCTATTTTCTAACGGAGGAAGTATTTTGCTGTCGTCGTCCTGATCATGTCTGTTTTTTTTTCAAACTTCCGGTAATTGTATAAACTCTAATGATGTTGTGACAAGTGTAATATTATCATGATGACATTAGTTATTTTTTCCCGGTCTAAAGGTCCTATGGGTAATTCACAATGGTATTATATATTTATTATTAAATTTAAGAATTTAGTTAATATCTGAATAACCTGATATAGTTATAAAAAAAAAATAATAGTTTTTAGCTGTACCCGTGTGTTTTTTTTATCCCAAGATATATTTTAACGCTCGAACTAAGATCGGGGAGATTTATTAATTTTCTCGATTTAAATCTTTAAAAGTACTACAAATAAATATGATGTTTGAAATAAATAAAAAAAAATTAAATGAGCAATAACCATTCCTAGAAAAGTTATTTATTTTTTCATAAAGCCTTTTTAGAATACAATGAAAATTTAAAGATCCTAAAATTGTGATGTTTTGTATTATAATAATAGTAAATTTCCTCCTATAGTGATTTTCTTTTAGAATTAACTTAATCATAAACTTGAATTTTTAGTGAACTATGAATTATATTTAATTAAAAATACAATTTGAAAGGAGATTCTTTCTTCAATAATATTTATTCTGAAATCAACGATTTTTGGGCCTTAAACTGAAAAAAAACATGAAGATGTAATAACATGTCATTTAATGAATTTAATAAAAATCATTAACTCGGATACCTATTGCCATCTACACAGCTAGCCTTTATCTCACTGGCGATGACTCTATTCTTCGAAATAACTAGGTAGAACAAATATTAATATTCGCTTCATCATCATTCAATGTAAATAGTTCTCCATTTTTTTATATCTCGCAGTTAATTTCAACGATGATTTAAATTAACTGCATATTTTTAATGTTATAAACAATAATTCACAATATAAACCCAAAAATAAATCAACCGAGTTATTTATTATAGTCACCATACAGACAAAATATTGACATTGGTTTGTAATAGCAAATAAAATTCCCTTATATATGAAATAATATAATGTTGTCTTCGAACACAATATTTTCATTTTAATAGCAATTATTCCGGTCGTTTTCTTCCTCAGAAAACTTAGACTGAAAGAATACCAGTGAAACGCATGCAATGATATTTTTATTGGAATCAAACCATTCAAAATTTAGTTTCCAGCATCCAGGCATGGTAATCGGACTGAATACACTCACAAGTTTGTTTTTAATCACTGGATATTTACCCTGTGAAAAATATAATTGAATTATTTATAAAGAATTGACGTACCCAATGCAAGGAAATTAGCAGTGCTATCATTAATGAAACAAAAAATAGAGTCATTTGTAAGCTTGTGGCAAATACTATTTATATTAACGAAAACCCAAACCACAACACAATTTACTTTTATTATAACTATATTATTACATTTTATATCTATATATGTATACGTAATACTTATAAATTAGTACATTTATAAAATAAAAATAGTATAAATGATACAAGTAAATAAATAAACTGTAATAATATAAAATTAATTATGTAAAGCAAGTAGACTTAGTTTAAAATGTAATGAAAATATTTGATTGACATTGTTAATTTGACACTTTTACCACCTAACCCAACCGTTAGGTTACCTTACTAATATTAAATATAAATCTATACTTATCTCTTAAAATAAAGGCCTGAATAGATAGAATACCTAACAGGAATATACTTGGAGGTAGTTAGAATTAGAAAGAGAAACCTGAAGACAAATATGTGTCATTCATTGTAAAAGTGAATTATAACCTTGTAATTGAATTTTGAAATAATGAGTTTTTTATTAAGTATTCATTCAGTGGTTTATATTCTTTATTTATTTTTACATTTATTGAAGTTGCTTCTCTATTATAATAAAAGATGTGACTAAATGTGACTCCGTTAAGTAAAAATATGTATATTTTAAAAATTTGGAGTTACACCACTTTTACAATGAACGACAATATATATATTTATGAGTTAATTGAATTAATACATACTTTTACTACAGGACATGTGATGCTTGCTTTCATGAACATTCTAATTTTTGGCATTACCGCTATGTCGTTTTTTAAAAACTCGCAGTAGTTTATAGTTTTGCCCGACAACGAAGGTATCAGTTTCCAATTTTTATCTTTTCTGTACATGTTATTGCCAATCTGAAATAAATGAAAAATGTATGGAACAGCTAGGGCACATAAAGAATGAAGGGACAGTTACAATATAACAAATAATTAGAGAATACAATTAGTTTAACACATTGGACGACCGACGAAGAAAAAAATGTAATGTCACGGAAGAAGAGAAAATTAAAAATGTACAGTATCTTATTAGAATTGGAACAGCAAAAAAGTATAGTATCTTATTAGAAATGGAACAGCAAAAGAGTATGTGCCCAAAGATTGATTCAGGTTTAATCATGGGCAAGAAGGAAAACAAGAGCAGAAAAAGATTATATCCAAATATGAGAAAAAAAGGCAAAGTAGAGAATAGGTTAGGAAAGAATAGGTTTTTGGTTAGAACGTTCCGTTCATAGGCAGAATTATTTTTTTTAAATACTAAAAACGGTTTACCGTTAAGTTCATAGACTTGGTGATATCCGCCAAAACGACATAGTAGTTGTGACTATTCGGTGACGGAATCGAAGCGTTATACCGTATGTCAAAAAGCATTTTGCTTTTGTCTTGCAGGCAATTGGTGGCTTTCAGCAAATATAAGTTAAACGGCTCCTGAAATTCTCATATTTAACTGGTAAGATGTTCGGCGATTGTGTATTTATGTATTTATATTATACAACACTTACCTGTGCCGATTGGCAAAGATTGCCACAGAAGCATATGCCCAATAATAAAACAAATAATTTCATTTTAAGAATATGCCAGTTAGTCGTATGATTAATAAGATAAAGTCTATCTTTGTAACGCGAAAAAATGTATACAAATGTTTACTATGTATTATATTTTCGTATAGACATGCAGCTTGTAACTGCGCTGTAGGTAATACATAAATGCTTATTTCTGTAAAATGAACAAAATATACATTTAATAGGTATGTCATTCAGAAACACCTTCAACACCATAAAAAAACTTATCTGTATTTAATCACTTAACAATGTATAGGTACTATAATATATTATATCGATTCAATAGGATACTATTTTTTTAAACAAAATAACTACATTCTAATTAACAATTTTTTTTAACTCCAATTATATCATCATTATTTAGGTATTTCACTCGTCCACACAATAAAGAAAGTAGATCCTCATGATAATCGTAATATTATATTGTTTCTTTTTTAGTTTTTCCTAAAAAAAGTTTTACAAAAATATTTATACCTGGCACGTACCAAACAGTCGCTTCTTCGGTCCTCCATAAGGTCTGTTCTAATTATTGGCGGACACCGTAAATATTAGTACTAAGCTAGATTTCATTCAGGTATGTATATTTGTTTTTTTTGTTATATTTGTATTCGTTATTTTTTAACCACTGTTTAGCTTACTTTGGCGGGATTGTAATAAATTCGTGCTAAATGTTTCTAATTGTGTCATACAACTGTTCTTAACGTTTGAAAAGTAAATTTGATTTAATGTAACTTAAAACGAAAATATAAATTTTACCTCTAACAAATTTCCGATATATAATAGTTATTTTAGCCATAAAACTCTTTAGGATGTTTAGTTTTTCTATCAAAAAAAGATACCATACAAATCAGTGGCCGCACTGTTCTTTTTATATTTGCCAAAAATATAAACAATTATTTATGTGATATGATTGATTAAGAGTCTCAATAAATCAATTTGAGACGCATAACGCCAGAAGAGCTAAACCATCAAATCCACTATTTCATGATAATGGCATTCATAAGTTTTAAATGATGTTAATGAAATGTCAGTGCCAAAAAAATTAAGTTCTGCCATTTAGTGGATCACTTTTTATTTAGGGTTGGGTCAGTTTGGACATTGAAAAATTAAACTGTATCTTGACCAAGTAGACTTTTACTAGATAGACTCGATCCATAATTATCCGATCCAGATCATTGTAACTAACCCAATATAAGATGGATCATTTGGGTAAAATCATTGAAGAGTACGAAAAGATATCAATATACCCATATATTTTCTTATTATAATACTTAATTGTTAATATTGCACTTAAAGATAATATTATTTAAATAAATTGCAGTTGTCCTTATTTTAATAACAATTATTTCGGTCGACTTCATAGTTAGAATCAACTGACTGTAACGTTACAAACGAAACGCAAGTTATAACTTTTTTGTTCGAGTCAAGCCATTCTAGTGTAAGATTCCAGCAGCCAGGCATGAATACCGGATGGAATGGACTTGAAATATGGTTGTTAAAAATTAGGCGTTTACCCTATAAAAAAAAAAGGTAATTTTAATTTGTAACAAATAAACATAATATATGAACGTGGAATGTTTAATTTTGATTACTATTTCATTTTTATTTTACATATTATTATACAAATAATTGTTTTAAAAAAGGACAATGGAAGAAAACAAAACTATGTCCAAATAAGGTGACCAGAAACGACTAATGAGTGCATAAAAAAATATTTGGCAGTCGCATGTGCAGCAGGAAAAAATAGAAAAAATTAACTAAAATAGTTGGGGTATGTTGAAAAAATTGTAAGAAGGGGGGGGGGCAAAATAGTAAAACGAACCGAAAATGTTAGAAAATATTTGAGGATTTAAAGGTCGGGGTAGGCTGAAGAAGAAGTCGATGTTTTATAAATAAAGTCATTAAGATATATGGAGGAAACAATGAGATAATGAGATGAATGAGTAGATGTCCCACGTGTATGGGATGATGTAAGGAAGAAAATGAAGAAGTAGAAGAAAAAGATGACTGTTCTCTATTAGCTCTATAGTTATATCTATGAAAATAGCCCCATACATAATTTAACAAAAGAAAGATAGTATATAATTGGGAAATCCATCAACAGTCATTCACCCTGCTTAGAATAATAATTGAAAACCGAAAAATATGATAAATTCAAAAAATATTAATACATACTTTTTTTATAGGACACGAATGTCCTATCTCTGCAAACAATCTGAATATTGGAATTAAGGCTATGTCATATTTTAAAAATGCACACGTCCGGATAGATTTTCCCGATAAGGCTGGTTCCAATTTCCAGTCTTTTTTTACTTTCTTGTACATGTTGCTGCGTACCTTTAAAATACAGTAAATCACTAATGTAAGCAAACTGTAGGCGTATTAGCTCGTTGACTGTTTAAAGTACCATTCAAACTACGAGTTATCTTCGTAGGTTGGCAGTCAACGTGTTAATTACCGTGTATGGAGTATTTAAATTTAAATAAGTTTCTGACGTTAAAAAAAATTATCCAAAATAAAATATTAAATACAAAAAAAATATATTCTAAAATTAAAAATTCCAAAAAAAATTGGTACTATAAAATTTTACAAACTGGTTTTTGACGAATCTTTTTCTTAGGTTATCTCTTCAGACTTCAGTTATTTTCGACATCGAGATGCGAAATCTTACTATATGTGTGTAGGTGGTATCGTTTAGTATGGATTAACATATTATCGAGGGATTACAAAAAAAAAATTTACCAAATTTACCATTTTACAATATAGCATTTTAAAGCTTTTTCTTTGTAATGCTCGGCGTATATTTACGGTTTGTAACAGTTTAAATATAGACTATTTCAAGATCAAAACTTTAGTAAAAAATGTACTTACAATATTTTTTTAATCAAACCATCCATACGGTTATGGTTTTTTTAGTGGAAAAAAGAAACATAAATATTCTCTACCAAACTCCGATATTGTGCGATAAACTGTTGAGTTTAGTTATAAAATATTAGTAATAGTTTAAAAACGAATATTTTACCTACCGTAATGTTCATAGACTCGGTGATCTCTCTAAAAATCGTATAGTAGTTGTTACTGTTGGGTAGAGGAATCGAGACATTGTACACCAGATCTAACCACAAATTACTTCTGTCTTGTAAGCAGTTGTTTGCTGTAGCTTTTAGCAAATAGAAGTTAAATGCCGTCTAAATAACATTAATTAAATCAAGCATAAAAAGCTTGGACTTTATTTTTCTCTAAGTATTTAGAACAAAATTCTTACCATTATTGGTCGAAACTCGAATAAAATTATGCCCATTAATAACGGACATAAATAAAATAACTTCATTTTGGACAAAACTAGTAAATGGAATTTAATAACATCATTTTCATTAATAATATTATACCGCTACAAACTAATAAACCAGCGATGAGTGTAGACTATGAATACCTATGCCATATTTTGTTGAGTTTGGTATTCCGTATTTCCAATAATTATTATACGGAAGGTCACTTTTGTTATAGTTGGTTATGTTAATGATCTATTGTTCGCGTATTTGATCGAGGACAACAAAATAAGGGCATTTAAATCTTCATCGATTGTATTACACAATTTGTGTGTCAATCGATGAGTTAAGTGCTTAAAAAAGGTATATTTTGTGATCGTTTTAAGATACGGTTTTTGATAAGAACATTAACAAAACGTAAAAGCAATGAAAATAATTATCATTTATAAAACGACAACAATAAGATTTCAAGTGTCATTGAACATAATACTATTATGTTTATTTATTTATTAGATAGAGTGACCACACCAAAAGTATATAATAATTATTCCACAAAAAAATATGCAATTAGGTGTTGGCCGTGAAGCGTTACAGCTGCCCATAAGGTTAGGCCACTTTGTGGTTTTTATGATGACTTAAGTTTACTGTGTTATTATAAATACTTAATTTTTTTACAACAATAACACAAATTTATTATTTTTACTAGAGTGACAATGTTTGGAATATAACTTAAGGTTAGTAATTAAAAAAAAACATTTCTTTCTTATTTACCCAGTTATTATACACCGACAATAATAAAATCTCGAACGAACAAAATCATGGCACACTATTATTTACATTTATTAAGAAGTTGGGTATTGGCAATTTTTTGCAAAATTATAATTTAAAGATCAATCTCGATGTGTAATTATTACTGTATTGGAAGTTAATTTATTTTTCGGTCTATCAAAACATAGCTACGCGTATTTGCTCTATTATTGACTCAATAATAATAGTAAAATTATTTTTACATAATTAAAATAAAGTAAACTTTATCTAGGCTTTCTCGTCGGTTTTTTTTTTATTATTATGGTTTTGTTTTTATTATTATTACCATTTTCAGTTAATATTTTTTTCAATTTTTTTAGGTGTTTGTATTTAAGGTAAAATTTGAATTTTCTAAAAAAATCGACGAGAGAACTTAGTTTAAGCTCTTCTCATTTTAATGGTATCAATTTTTTTTTACTAAAGCCATTTCGCTAAGATCTGCACGCATTCCCATAAATACGTTTTTACGATAATTTTTAAAGTGTATGACGTCCTCTTAAGTATTCTGTAACCACCCCCGAAACCATGCTTTAACGTAAAGATTTTTTAATTAGGTTTTAATAACAAGTGTTACGACCGACTTCGTGATTTTGATCGAATGACTGAAAAACTACACACGAAATGCATGTTATATGATTCCTGTTGGAGTCATACAATTTCAGATTTATCTTAAAGCATCCAGGCATAACGATTGAACTGAATATACTTGAAAACGTGTTTTTTAATAGTAGGTATGTGCCCTGTTAAACATAATTGAATTAATTATTGTGATTAAATACATACATATATTAAGTTTGATATTAAAAAATAATTTCTCAAATAGTTTAACACAATTAAAAAATAGAAACATCTTCTTAATTCAAAATAAATTACAATATCCTATAACTATCACTACAGAGTATATACTATTATATAGTAATCTGTATACTTTAGATTATTATTAATATAGCAACCATACGTTAAAAAAACGATTGATACATATTACATACCTTTTTTACAGGACACGACTGGCTTATTTCTGCAAATGTCCTAATTACTGGCATTATTGTTATGTCACGTTTTAAAAATAAACAGAAATTTATAGATTTGCCAGAAGCATAAGGTAACAATTCCCAGCGTGCTTCTTTCTTGTATACATCACAGGAAATCTTAAATATAATTACATTAAATACATTATAATATATTATAATTAAATACATTTATATCATATGTATTTAAATATATAGCGAACTAAATATTTTTTATCGTTTACGATATTTTCATCAGCTTTTAGGAGTTACAATCCATATATATATATATAACATATATTTAATTGAGATAATAGGGGCAAAACGGAGCTATTTATTTTCGTACATTTTTTTAATTATCAATGATTAAAAATAATCAAATGATTTGTTTTACCGGAGGAAATGAAAAGTAAAACTTTTTACGGGTTTAGTAGTTTAGGCTGTCCTCTAATTTCAACAAATTTTTATTCCATTATTTTGTATACAATTTTTTAGAAAGTTTTCTCTTAAAATCGCATCGTCCATTCGCATATTAATTTACCGTGATGTTCAAAGATTCGGTGATATCTTTGTGCAATACATAGTGGTTGTATTTAGTCGAGGACGGAATTGAAGCATTATATATTATGTCATACCACACAACATTTTGGTCTGGTTGGCATTTGGTCGCTTTTATCAAAGACAAGCTATATAACGCCTAAACCATAATGAAATCAACACGTTTAGTATCGTTTGTTAAGTTACTATAAAATTCTTACCGAGACAGATCGACTAACGAGTAAAGGTACAGCAAACACTAACGTTGTTAAACACATCATTTTCATTTTAGAGCAAATACTACTCTTAGGACTGCTTTTAATAGAATAATTCGAATTCCTGGCCATACTCTATGCCATAAACCGACCAAATCAAGGAGTTATATTGCTCTTATTCATCAACAATGTATACATTATAATAATGAACATGGGATCAAACCTTGAAATCTAATCAAACTAAAAAAAATCATTGCCTATTTTTTATTAATATACAGCGTGATCCTTCTAACGTAAGCCACTCATTTTCACTGGTTACAAACATTTTTTTTTTAAATTAAAATTTTTGGAAACATTTTTGTTATTGTTATTCAACAGTATTAAACAATATCCAACTGTTTTAATTTTTTGGTAAGTTTCAGAGTTTTACCAACTTTTGAAACTTAAATGGTAACGTATAATATATTTTATTACATTTTTAACCCTTCACTGCATGAATTTTTTTTTAACCATATGCTATAAATGTACTTAATACTACTAAAAAAATAAAAATACATTTTTTTTGAGTTTTGATTTCATGGAAAACGCTAATTAAAGAATTGTACCAAATATGGAACATTGTGCATCAAAAATGTAAAGCATGAACAGATATAAACAATAAATACAATTGTTCCATGTATGGAACATTATGCAGTGAAGGGTTAATTTAAGAAAAATTTTACTGAAAATGTCGATTGGTCGATAACCAGTTTTAAATGTTAATTTCTTAAGTTATTTAAGTTTAAAATTTAGGACTGTCGAAAAGTTGGCATGTAGTATTATTTTTATCTGAGCGCATTACTCAGCCGCACCCGATCATATGAGTGTCTTACATTAAATGGATCACCCTGTATACCCACAATTTAATTTTTATAATTTATATGCTATTCGACAATGGTTATAAAATAAAATGATGTTTGGAGGTAGCTTGTACAGAAGGTCAATTATTTTAATTTTGTTTTGCGTACAATGATCACAGAGTTAATAAGCTCTTCATTAATACCGCGAGTTCAAAATTAACTTTTTTTTTTATTTTTATTACATACATTATCCAATGTAATTGCCGGGGTACATGTATTTTTTTAGAACCATAAAAGCACATTTCATTTTGCGTTTTTAACTGGCTGTTGCCAAGGTTTTGCATTCACACAATAGCAAACAATAGATATATAAAATTCCCAAAATGGTTTTAACAAATCGCTATAAGTGAGTAAAGGATTGGTTATTTATTTATTTTTGATCATATCCACTTATCGCTAGGTTTGCATTGATGCTAAAACATATTTTGTTGGAGGCATGCGTTTTTTATTTAACTAGTTTCGACGATTATCGTTTAAGTTGGTAAGGATTCAAGAAAAAAAAAAGTGGAAATTTACTTTACCTTTTCAGGTAAAGTAAATTTTTAAGAAAAAATTTACCAAGTATAATACGTCCAATAAAAGCATATAGAGAGATGACTGTTTTGTTATGCTGTGGTTTTTTTTATAGTTATTTTTTACTGGTATATTTTTTCCCTAGATTAGGATATTTTACTTATTAGTTAGTTTACTGTAGTGTTCAAGGACTCTGTTATACCTCTGTAAACGGTATAGTAGTTGTGGCTATTTGTGGATGGAAACGAAGCGTAATAATTAATGTCGAACCACTATTGCTTCCATCTTGCAGGCAGTTATGTGATATTGATAAAATCCAATTCTCTCATTTGCCTCTAACAACTAACTAAATTTGTTTTTAACAGATTGTATCATAACGAAAGGTCATTATATTACATTATTGTCATACAATGTAATACACAATGTACCGTCAAGTGCACAGTACAATTTATCTCGGTTTTTAATCTTTTATTGTATTGTAGGTATACAAATTACCAAAAGCCGCGGACAAAGTTCGGAGCTATAGTAACTAATGAATAACTAAAACAACAAAGTTCCCAAACTTAAACAGTGTTTTTTTTTCAGAATCGGACAATCGCTCTGTCTACATATAATTTTTTTTTTTTTTTATCAAGTTATTCTCAGCCGGAACGAATAAAATCGAATAGTTTCGGGGAAAAAAATATTTTTGCTATTCATCTATAATAATAAATAATGTTATTAATTATTATAATAATTTAATGTACTTATTGTGTTAAAAAAATATATTTTTGCGGTCAGATTTTTTCCTACTATTGTCTATTTCTACTGTTGTTATTTTGAATATTTGTTACTCTTTTTATCACAAGCCGGTTGTTGTTGTTTTCAGCCATTTCCACTTTTTAGTTATTACTTATTAGTTTTTAGGTATTACCCGTATGAAGTCTTTATATTATTTTATGATTATTATCATTATTATTATTGTTCATTGTTAATATGCTTTTAATAGTGGATTTCAGGCTTAACCGATCTATTTAACTTTAATCAAGAATGCACATTATATTTTAATATTATTGCGCAATGCATCATTAAAAAAAAAAATGTGCATTTGATAATAATAAAGAATATACCTACTATAAAATGTATTTAATGAACAATTTTATGTACAGCAAGAGTATTCTGTCCTTAAATTTATCACTAGCCAGCCAAAAACTTTTATAATTTGTAGAGTGGAATCAGTGCCGTGCCGGAAAGTGTTCGGACTTCGGCCCATTATAGAAATTAATTCATTCGGCCCGCAAGACAGTACCATATAGTTTTAAAACTATTATAGGTAGCACGGACAACATATTATGGTCGTCACTTTTTTGTTTACACTGAAAGTGACCCTTTTACTTTTATCTATTCTGTGATTGTTATAAGCATAATATTTTCATGTGATAAGGTTCTAATATTCCCACAAAGATGGCGGAAAATGGTATGTTCAATACTATCTCTATTGGCGGCATGAACACTTAGCAGTTAGCAATCTAGTTTATCATAGTATATATCTGTATACTAGGTTATTGTGATAGGATAACCACGGCATAATCCAGTAGTTGTGATAACCCATAAGTACCACAATATTGAATATTTATAGTGTGCAGTTCGCTGCTCGTGTTATGTAATATTATTTATTATACCTACCTAGTAATATCTAAAACACTCCATAAATATAATATCTACATAAACTACTCGATAATTAGTATTAAATTAAATAAACTACCATAAATTGTTATTTCCACCGTGTGGCCTCGCTGTCTACACCGGCCATTTTTTTCTAATATTACCTATATATTTTTATTCTGTCTTTAACAACTACATTCGGCGGTGCACTTGTTCGGCTGACGTGATATCGATTTAAAGCAAAATATAGTATTCCTTTCAGCCCCAAAATGCGTTTAGGAAGTGTAATTGACGACTTCACCGCAGACTCTACGCAGGGTCCAATTAATTTTTACAAATGGATCGGCGAATCGTAAGTATAAAATAATTATTATTCTTTAGTTTGATTTGTGTTGGCTGTTGTTTTTTATTGGTCGGCTGAATCGTTAAAATTTAGTAAATTACTCTTTAGTTGAAGTGTGATTACAAGATGACTAGGTTGATTTTGTTTTTTCGTAAGTTTTCTCATAGTTGCGTGAATTATCTACGTTGCAATTAGAACGTACTCTAAACTTTTCCACCGCTATATTTTATAATGGACTAAATTTGAACATGTACAACATGTTGTATTTAATGTTTTGTTTCGTTCATGTATTTTAAAAAGTTCGCGACCAAGTATAGAAGTAGTTCATCGCGCAGTTAAATATATTACAATTTATTTATTACTTTTTATAACTACGATAACTCCAAAAAATGTAAGTTTTTTTTTGTTTTAGCTGAGTTTTTATAACATTCTATTAAAGAAAAAAAAAAATGATCATTTTATGTCGTAGGTGGTGTTTGTTATTCTCTCATCCGGCTGATTTTACGCCAGTTTGTACTACTGAACTGGGTAAAATGGCCGTTCTCATAGATGAGTTCAAAAAACGCGACGTCAAAATTGTGGGATTATCTTGTGACAAGTTGGAAAGTCACGTCGATTGGATTAAGGTAATATTTTATAATTGGTGTTGCTTAAGAAGTTTTCCTAATCAATACTAGACTATAAAAAATTAATTTTATTCTTTTTTTAGGATATAAAATCTTACTGCCTCGACATTAAAGGTGAATTTCCATATCCAATAATTAGCGATAGTAAACGAGAGTTGGCTGTCAAATTGGACATGATATCCGAAGAAGACAAAGACAATCCAGATTGCGCAATGACCATTCGTTCTCTTTATATTATTGGCCCAGATAAAAAAGTTAAATTGATGATGATTTACCCAACCAGTACAGGGCGTAATATACAGTAAGTGTAATATAAATGACAAATGATTATATTTTTTTTTATACCTTTTTATTATAATTAATTTGTTTTTGATTTAGAATTATAACGGTAACTAATTTCAAAATTTTAATTTTAGGGAAATTTTGCGCTGCATTGACTCTCTTCAGCTAGTTCACAGATTGAAAACGGTCGCTACGCCAGCCAATTGGGTGGTACGTTAAAAGTGTTAATATTTAATTTAACAAAGTTTTTATTATACATAGGAGGCAATAAAATATTGATATAATAGCAATAATCGAGTATTATATTTTATATATTATTTATACATAATTTTGTTATATTATATTTTCAGCCTGGCGAAAAAGTAATGATCTTGCCGTCGGTAAAGGATGAGGAACTCGATAAACTATTTCCAAATGGTCACGATAAGTGTACAATGCCGTCTTCAGTAAATTACCTGCGAACTACTACTGATTATTAAATTACCATATGATTCATCAAATAATTACATAATTACATTTATACATTATTTTGTTAACATTTTTTTTAAATATCATATGTTAAATATTATTATATTATTGCATGTTACTATTAACTAATAAGTATGTTTTTAATGTAACTACGAATTTAATTAATTTATAGTTATAAAAAATAAAGTTGATAACCAGTTTTTAATGATTTTTTTTTTATGTTATAAAGCTTAAAAAAAAAAAATGACAAACAATTTTATATACAGAAAATATTCAAAAAGAAAAATATTTGAAATCCTAATTATTTTCAGATAAAATAAATGTGTTGTTCTTAATAAAATAATCTTGTATATTTAAAAACAAATCACTGAAATCAAGTATAAAACTGTTGGGATTCTTTATGTAGACTATATTTTAAACGTGGTCTTAACATTTTTAAAATTGGTTTTTAAATTATTTATACTTGTAATTGATATCAATTTTTTTGTCTTAACTAGTTAAAATATAACAATTAGATCAACATTGCTTGCCGTTTTGTATACTATAAAATATTAAGTAATACATCGAATGAACTATTTTATATTAATTTACTCAATGTATCTATAAAAAAAAAACCTACACTTATAATTATCTAATATTAAAAAAAAATGTATGAAACTACAGTTTTTTACATTGAAATTATTAATTATTTAAAAATAATATTTAAAATTGTGCCACAGTCATTGCCTTAAAAGTGTTATGAAGAATTCAAAGGTTTTTTAAAAACTTAAATAAAAAAATTCTTAGGATCAGTACGTGTGAAGTAGAAACATATGTTTTTGTACAAAAATAGATCCTATATGCTTTATAAAAAAATAAGTATCAAAATAGACACTTCTTTCCTTTGGTAATAATATGTATGTTCAAAAATGTTAGCCTAATGTTAAGTTTTAGCGAAAAATTGCCTATACAGTGCGCCTTAATAAACGCTAGTGTAGAGGCCCCTTAAGAATCGTCATTATGTTATTGCACAATTGTTTGTATTTAGAGTTGTCATTCGTAAACTAGTAGGTATATTAAAAAGACTTGTCAGTAGTCTGGTGTAATTATACGTGTTATTGGATTTCAGTGAATACAATATGTCGGCATGATATAAATATGATACTAGCAAAGGTGTTTGCGTTACTATTGACAACCTTGGATCTCGAGCTTTTTAACCTTGTCGGCTACATAAACTACTCATTTTAAGGTCTCGACGACGACGTACTACAATCTTACAAACGTTACAGATGCATTTTATAAATCAAATGAGATGCAGTTTTGTTTCGTTTATCAATAGAAAGCAACTAGTGACTACTATATACACATAACAGTATAATTCATATAAATTATGTATAGACTATAGTCTGATGTAACAAGACAGTATTGTTGTAATACTGGACTTAATGGTAGACACCTCTGCCTCGAAAGTGTTGACACAAAATAATTATTGTAATGTTGTTTTATTATACAGTGTATTTACTTCAAATAGTAGTTATAAGTTTTAAGTACAGCCTGCACATTTGGACTTTGGACAGCTAATTAATTTTCGGTCGAATTGCAACTAACAAAAAACCAGGAAGTTGTATTAATTATACTTTTACTTTATTATCTATTTACAGACAACACAATAACTACTATATAGGTATTATACACAACGTTATCAATTTTTGTTTAAACAGTCAGTCTATAATATTATGCAAAATTCGTACAAAATCAAGTTAAAAAAAAAAGTTACATAAATTACTGTTAATTAAATAATACAAAATAATACATTAGTCGTTGACGTTTTCATAGAACCATTTGGTATTTACTTGACTTTTATAAGCTTTAAAACTTCACTGGTACCGTTTTGAAAAAATCGGAAATCTCTTTTAGTGTCCTGTTCTCAGTTTCAGGTAGTTCTTTGTATAAATAAATAAGTCCCACAACACCTAATGTACCAAAGATTACAAAAGTATTGTAGAAACCGGCCAGCAGTTCAAAATTGGTATAGAACTTGGTCATGACGAAACTCAGTAGAAAATATGTTGAAGCACTAATACCACACCCTATGCATTTACTCCTGAAATATTAAATGTATAAGTTATGTTAATACCATTTATTTTTTATTTTTTAAAGAAATTATAATAATTGTTTTTTCAACAATATTTTCTATAGAATGGCAGTAATAACCCAGCTACATCTTAATTATAATTGTTTTTTTGACTCAAGTTAAAGTATTTGGAGGCTTAACATATAGCCAAACCGTATATCGAATATTTAATAAGTTCTTTTTGATTATTATGTTTTTAATAACAAAAGTTGGTAATTTTATCACTTTCAAACAACGTACATAAAAAGAAAAGTGATATCATTCATCAACTTATGCAAAATTATCATTTTGTAACCCACAAAGAAGTCTAAAATAGATTACATGTGATTTGTTAACTACTTATACGTATCATTTTTTTTCTTTTACTCATTCATAAAGATAATGGGAAGCTTGGAAGGGTTACTTAGAGCCACCAAAAATTAAGCAAAGATTTTGGCATAGCCTCAGGGCACTGCGCTAAAATCCTCAAATGAATTCATTTACCGTTTACTGTGCCAGGAGGCTTTTAAGTAGATTTCACGGCGTCATTGGTTACAACTCACGTCTCAGTTTATTCATTTGGAATTGAATAGTAACTAGGCAAACTTACTTCATTGGGAAGACTTCGCACATGAGTATCCATACGATTGGCGCGATGCCTAACGACGAAGCAAACGAAGTCAAATAGAAGAGTGTGACTTGGATCCAAGAGGTCAACAAACAAACGGGTGCGTAAGTACCAATCACTCCGATGCCGATGTAACTGATCGAACAAACTGAATACGATAACAAAACCAGGAATCGTTTGCCGAACTTGTGCACCATAAAGATTGTCAACACGTTACCGATAATGGCAAATCCTGTGTATACGGTCTGTAAGGAAGGAAAATATAGTACATCAATGCATTGTATAAACTTCGGGTCGTTTTACAATGGATGTAGCGGCTGTCTGTCGTAAAATATGGCCAATATTATCCCCCACCCCTACATTTTTTACTGCAATTTCCATAAAATGATCAAGTAACGCATTTCTAGTCATTCCTGAAGTCATACGCCAATCATCCCTAACTGGTTGCCTGACTAGGGTTGACCAAATAAGTTTGGTACGAGTGCGGGCTCAGATTTATTTATCTTTTGTGACGTCAAGTCTAGAGGGAAAAGCTACCGCTCACCGGTTCATGGGTTCTTATTTATAAAAAAAAAAATGGCTGTTAATGGATCAAGTATTTACCATCGCCCACGCCGAATCGAACGGAGTCTTGAGTATCTTGAATATGGACAGCAGGTAAGGCGTGTACGGGACGCCCGACATTATGTTGGAGAAAAATATGAACACCACCATGAGTGTTAGTGGCTTCCACAGGTCGTCGAGATCATTTATTAAATCGGTGGTCTGTAGCGAACCGTCTGCGGTGAATTTAACAAAACACACTGTAAGATCAAGCCGGTTTTTTTAGCACCTACAACTAAAAAATGATTTACCTTTTAAATGTTCCACCTTGTCCGCGCTCTTTTTCAAGACGTATTCGACCATTTCTTTGAACTCGAAAGCGCATTTCTCCTCGCTCGCGTTTCCCCGGAGCTTCCTCAAAGAACGTTTGGCTTTTTCCACTTTACCCCTGGACAACAACCACATGGGCGAATCGACGGTCTGCAAAGCAAAATTATAGCCATATATGTGTTGTACACCCTCGAGCACACGTCGATAATTATTTCCACTCACAAAGATCAGGACCACGAGATTCATTAGCGGTATGGCGACGGTGATTAACAACGAAAACCTCCAGTTCAAAGTGATGGCGTACACGACGCTAACGAACAGATAACCGCTAAAAAAGAACACGTTCAACAGCGAGGTCAACATTCCCCTAAGTCTGGGTTCGCACACTTCACCGCTGTACGAACCGTTAAGGTTGGTTGCAAAGCCCGTGCTCAGGCCCATCAATATTGTGCACCAGTATATCGCTTGGACGTCGTGCGACAGAAACACCACCGACACGGACGACACTTGAATCAGACAGGTGATGAACATGCATATCCTGTGGCCCAAGAAGTTCTGAAACACCGAAAGGAACAGACTTCCCAGAGGCGGAGACAAGTACACCAGGCTCGCTAAAACACGGAACGCGGTTATTGTAAATCGACAATAGTCGTACAGAACAGTTAGCAAAGCAGTTATGTTAAATAAAACGTAAGAATTACAAACAAATTCACGGATTGATAGCAGTCACGATTAGTTCCAAGAGCGCGGACGTCGATGCCATCGTCCAAACGGTGGTTTGATAATTTACTAAATCTAAACTAAAGTACATTTTAACATGCCCTCAATATCGCGCACCCGCGTTTATAGTCCTGTAAATCGAGTACTGAAGCTCGAGTCTTCGGACCAACGACGCAAGGAATTCGGTATTAATTTAATTTTAGTTTTTATTGTTTTCTTTTATATCACAGTTATACGTATTTGAATTTATTCTTTACAAAAGCCGATTGACGTCAATTTATAAAAAAAAACATAAACATGCTTTTTATGGCCGGGGTATCAATTGAAAATTCGCGTAACTCTTTTTAGTAAGATCAAAATCTGCGCCATTCAAACATTATGCTTTATTTAACTTTTGTTTTATGCTTTTATCGATTTGTTTACTCAATGTGTTTTCTCGTTTACTTGAAAATATCAGCAATTTGTAAAGACTACCGGGGGTGGCTGTTGAATTCTATTAAAATTATACTGATGAGAAAATAACTATTGTGATAACTAACTATTGTTTTATATTAGTCAATTTAATTTTAATTCTTCGAGTAACCGACTCGGTAGAAAACATTATTGTGTTTGTTTAATGGTTATAATTGCTGTCGAAACGAGGGAAGTTATGACTTACCTATCCACGATAACTGTTCGTCTGACACGTTGGGCAAGTACTTGTCGTTATTTTCGCGTATGGATCCGACGATTACAGTGGGAATCATGATATCTATTCCTTGGGAAATATTGAACAAGTACGTCGTCGTTAACATCAAACACTAGGTACAAACAATAGTATTAAATAAATTATGTACCAAACAAGTGGGTTGCTTTGAACTAAAATGTCTAGTTTTTTAAATAGATAACGCAAATTTAAAGAGACGGAGAAATAATTAATAACAAAATATAATACTTGTGCAAATGTGGATTTTAGTCCGTAAGAATATTCGGTGCCCGTTTTCATTAGGACTACTGGTCGTATGAACCGCCTGACCCTTAAAATACAAATTGTCAATATTAACAAACACATTGTAAAATATATATAATTAATATTATTATTGTAATATAGCTGTTTTAATCTTATATTAAACTAATATTTGACGGCGTGAAACTTTTGAGCATTTTATAATATCCGACCGCGCAACCCTTGAGTTCAAATATTATAGTTTTACATGTGTTCTAAAAATTATCAACAGACTACAGTTAATCTAAAATATCATAATGTTCTATACCAATCAAACATTATTATTTTATTACGCTGTATATGTACGTACACAGTAATGGTAAACAGCCGTCGCCGAGCACTGACACTAAAATGGCCTAGCTCTGTTTTGCGGTTACGCTAAAATATCAACAATAAAACCTTTTAGTGTATTGATTGATTAAATATAAATAAATCCGTTCGTAATTCGTTTGGCGATAAAACGAAAAAAAAAATTGTTTTATCTAAATTTCGTACATTTCATTAGCACTAATTAGCACGTACATATTTATTGTATACATATTTATGTAATTTAACACTACACATCATTTTCGGTTAGGTTTACATTAAATCGCCTATTATGTTCGTTAGTTATAATGCATTTTAATCAAACCTCATACTAGATAGTGTTTTACAATAAAATATTCAAATCATCAAAATCGATTCCGAAGAACACGCAGATAAGATTATACAAAAATCGCAATCTAATCTCGATTGTGTTTTTTAGTGTTTAAACTTTAAATGGCATATTAGTATTTATAAAAACCAACACTTCAATTCAAATTTATAAAACGTAAATAGGGTTGAAATTGGCCTGTGACATAAACTTGGTCTACTTCTACCCTTTATACTACATTTTATCTGTTTGACAGTTTTGGTTTTATATATTATACAGGGTATCTAGACTTTCACTTTACGCCTGATTTTTTGATGATATAGTCAAATTTAAAAGAAATGAGAAAATGTGAAACATTTAAAATTGTTATCAAACGATAATAATTATAAGTTACTGTTTTTTTTTTCATTTAGAACCAGATCAAACCTAAATCAAACCAGATTTAGAGGAAGAGGTTTTAAAACTTAAATAGTAACTTATGCATTTAATTGATATTTTTATTATAAATGATGTGCAAGCTATTAGAGTTCAAAATTTAAAACGGGAGGTCGGATGGCGTTGAGTAATGCTTGCTAATACAAATATTACTACACTTCACCTTTCCTTCACATACTTTATAAAATATAATAAAATAATTAAATTATCAAATAAAATAAAGAGGTTACTGATTAATATAAAATATTAGTTATAAATATATATTCTATCCTAATTTCTAAATATTTTACTATTTTTTAGGTATTTAACTCAACTACATTTTACATATGCAGTTGCAAATCTTAAACAGATTTAGGTGCAAGGAAGTAGTGTGTAAACAGTTCCCTCCCAGGTTAGCGATTACTTGGTTTAAAAAAAAAACCGATTTAGGTAGATATAAAGCCGAAAATGGCAACTGGCAAGCTACCCAATAAATAAATATTTAAATAACTAAATGAAATTGAGTGAACGAAATAAAGTTGTGATTATTTATTCTACCATAAAATAAATATTAAAGCTTATCTAACGCCCGAACAGATCATTTGATTAAATATTAAATTTATGTCACGATTATTTAAAAAGATTTATAACCTTATCGCTTTAACTTCGTGTACTTAATGAAAAAAAATAACAAATTCAAATAACGTTTCTTAAAAAATGTGTTTTTTAATCTAGATACAGAGCGATCCATTTAATGTAATCAAAGATTTTTAAATAATTTTCTTTTTAAAAAACCTGTTTGTACCTACTATTTTTAATAGTTTCCAGAGAACTCTAGAATTGAACAAAAAATAGATGTATAGTACTGATTCAGAATAACGTTTTGTAACTGAATTGTCTCTAAAGATATAAACTACAACATTTTAACTATATATCCAAAGAAAATGACGTTAATTGATCTAATATCATCCTGTATATTTGAAATTATATATATATATATTTTAATCATATACTAATAATGTACTTACCTTAAACCCAAACCCTGCCGTGCGTACGGAAAGATGACAAGTGGTACTATACTGCAAATAAAAACGAAACCAATGATCAATCACTCGATATTGATATCTGATAAATGCATTTGAATAATGCGTTTTAATGCGTTGTTCAAAATGTAAGGATTATCAACGCACATGAAGATAAACCCTTTGTCGTTTTCCGTGCAGTTCCTATGAATGAAATGAAAAGAAACGATAATACTGATTATAAAACTCTACTGAATTTAACAGGTCCGTTTAGTCGCTGTGCATAACTATTTTAAGGGTAAATAAAAAAAGCGAAATGTTCCTCACAATTCGAAGTACAACAACCGTTTGAAAGCGATATTATCGAAGTGTACTTAGAATTTAGTATTGTGAAATTGATATAGTAATAATAATATACATTCTTGTAATTATTAACAGTTTAAAAAAATATATATCAGTAACCATTTGATATGATGTTTGAATACAATCATAATATAATAGGTACATAATATTATAACTATCAGTTCCATAATATTCATTATAATCATGTAAATACTAATTACTATATATTTATTTATAATACTATAATTCGCCACAATGATATAACATTTTATACCTAATTATAATAATTATTATTCTGATTTAATAATGCGGATTGGTTTTCTGGCTACTCTATTCCCATAGTTCACTGATTAAGTCAACGTTATTCAATGATTACTTAACAATTATATAGTTGAATTTATTTCCTATGTCATTACGCGAATATGTTAATGTACCAGACTTGAACAATTAATTATACAATTTGCATGTAAAATAGAACTAACTAATTAATAAACAAGTTACAGTCAGTTAAAATTTTCTGAGTACTAACTTACTTTGTTCGTGCTTACTTATTTGATTTTTTAATTCTAACTATTTATTAGATCTACATACGGTTGTTTTTTAAACATAACCTTTAGTCTATAAATATGATAAAACATAAGAAGGGCTTGTGTGTGGGTATGCAATTATTCCTATAACGCCTCTGCGGATTCGAATTTTCTCTCAACATTTTACCATTATATTTGTTTAGATAAACTGATGACATTTTGGGAGCGATCGAGTGAACAAAACAGTTAATCTCAATTAAGTTTACACTTAAAAACAACAGCGTTACAGTATTAATCTTTTGATAATAATTATTATAATCACGGTTATTATTTTCTTTGAGAAAATATGTAATGACTATTGACTAATTTTAACGTATTATTCCATAATATTTTATAATAGGCTAGTGCTTCGCTCTAGTATTTTATAATAGATTACTTAATTTAAAGGATTTGCTAATAACCAATTACGCAATATATTAATAATCATGATTATTAGTCTAGTTTTTAAATATAAACAAATCAAATTGATATCGCAGCTAAAATAACGACAACGCCGGTGCTAGTGTAGCAAAAAGCATACTTCCTTCTTGCATAAGAATTAGGAAAATATGAAAAATGTATACTCTAATGGTGTACACAAAAATGGTTCCTAAAAGAGTTATTCCTGCGAATGACATTCAGCACACTTCGCGGTGTGAACAAATATGATAGTATGTTGGAAAACACTGATTTTGTTTTGTTTTATTTTTTAGATGTTAATCATTCATACGCTGGTTTGCAACGTCACCGTAGAATTGTTTACATAATTTAAATCATCATAATAAAATACTGTCTGGGGCAGTTGTGACTAGAGTTCGTACCAATATTGTCCAGCATATAACACATCAGCATTACACAACATCACCATGCGCTACCAATACAATGTGAGTATTTTATTTTATAAATACACGCTATTAGTATTATATTGTTGATGTTATTTTAAATTTAAATTTTAGTATTAATTATGTACAGTAAAACTGAGTTATTTAACTTAGTAGTTGAAGGGGGCTGTCGGCACACGATATTAAATTATTTTAGCACAGGTAAAATAAAATTGCAATTTACAAACAAATTTTTATCGATATGAAAATATATATTTTACAAAATAACATTATTAATTGCACTTTTTTTCCTATAAATAAATTTAAAAAAAGTACTCATACAGACATTAGACATTTTAGTGTTGATAAGTGATTAAAACTATCCATTCTTTATTATCTTTACTAACAAGTAGTATCTTATTTTAGTGATGAGAAAAACATTTAATAAAATAAAAATTACAATTGTTTAAATAATTATACAACTGAAAACTAACGTTAGCAAATAAAATATTATTTTATTATATTTTTGAAGGTCCCCGTTTGTCTCATCCTATAGATTGATCCTTTAATATGTATGTCTACATTATAGGCACATATTTATTATACATTTATAATAGTTAATTTGTATCAGCTAAAAGTGTATAATATTGAAAAATAATATGGCAATAAATATGAATATATCAGTATAGCCGTTATTTTGATCAAACTGCTCAATGCAGTTATTTAAACAAAAATAGGTGCTAACTCGTTAATTTGTATTTTGTATAGTTTATTAATATTTTCTTAAAACACCTCCCTTTTATTTATATATCACCTACTTTACAAACAAAATAGCAGTTTATTCAAAATAGGAACTACCTATTTTAATATCACACGCCTTCAGCGTTAAAAAAAATAATTTCGAGTTATTATTATTAAAAATTCCAAACGATAACCTTAAAACCACAAATATGTCGACCGTTTTAAATAGTCTAACTTAGAAATTAAGTAGGCATAGTAAAATCATAAGTTAAGTTATATTTAAATGTTCGGACAACTCGATGAGAACGGTCATAGAACATATCAAAATTACTGCTGGCAACATGCGCGTGTTACTAATAATTATTCATAATGTGTTATTTGTCTTTAAGAAATCGAAATTGTTCATACATGGCAGACCGTTTTCGAAAGCTCTTCATAAAGGATTCGATGAGATCCCGGGTCCGAAATCGTTGCCCCTCATAGGCACTTTGTACAGTTACTTGCCCGTATTGGGCAAGTATAGATTCGATCGGTTACACCGCAATGGACTGGCCAAGTATCGTCAATACGGTCCTGTGGTCCGAGAAGACATAGTGCCCGGCGTTTCTCTATTGTGGATATTCAAACCGGAAGACATAGAAACGCTTTACAGGAAAGAAGGAAGGTACCCGGAGAGACGGAGTCACTTAGCCCTGCAGCGGTACAGATTGGACAAACCCGATGTATACAACACTGGAGGTTTGCTACCGACGTGGGTGAAACTTAAACGATGAGTATAGGACATAATATATATTCTCTAGTTAAATAAGCGATAGCTGTTGTTAGAATACTTTAAGTTTGATAATGTTTTTAGGCCAAGAAGTCGGCCAAGAGAGTTTATGAGATTTTTTGCGTCACGCTTATTTATTTACTCATTTGCCCGTTTATTCGAATTTAAATAAACCTAAAAATGTTACCATGATTTTTACATTTCTAGCTTTAGCTCAAAATCTCACTTGTTTATTTTCTTATGCATTTCACAGCAACGGTTCTGACTGGTGGAGGATCAGAAAAGCGTTTCAGAAACACATAAGTAAAGTTCAATGTGTCAAGCGGTACATTGACAGCTCGGACATGGTCGTCCAACAGTTTATAGACAAGAGAATAAGAAGACAAACTATAAGCGAAGATTTTACTGCCGAACTGTCCAGACTCTTTCTTGAATGTACGATTAAAATAATATGTAAATAAGTTAAGCGCCACGTTGGAAATAAAAACAAAACCGTACAGTAGTTAAAAATACACCCATAGACTTAATCCCGCCAACGGTAAGATAAACAGCCTTTTCGTCTAACAGGTATCACCTGTAATGTAAATGTCTTGTCCGAATCCCCCACACACAGGCAATTAATTCCAACTTGTCAACTGAAACTAACTAACATCTACCTAAAATTATAACTCATAATATATTTGATTTAAACTCAGTGCCAGTTATAAGTATGAAGTTTTTATTTTAGTATAAAATCCCAGAAGTGGTAAGCAACTGTATTACTGAATTATTGTAATATGTTTTCTGATACAGAAAAATCAGCAAAGAATAATTAATCGCGCGAACAATGAAAACAATTTTAGCGTCTATATAAAGGAAACAATTAAATGGAATCTTTATAAATTATATAAATTAATTATATTATAACCTTATCCAATTGGTCCAAGTAATGCGATTCACGAGTCATGAATCACAATTATAGTATAAAAATTGTCTAACATTGAAAATTAAATGCATTCTTTATACACTTAAATTACTATCTTTGGACAGTTACCCTTTAGATAGCTCTTATTTTTTTTTTCCGGAGGCTCTGTGGTTGCTGCAGAAGCAGCGTGGTTTAGGGGTGAGGGGGGGGGAAGCAACATATTTTTAACCTAGGTACCCCTAATTTATCCCTACCCATTTTTTCTCAAAAAAATGTACAAGTGTATTATTAAAAAAGTGAAAAATACATTTGAAAAATGTTTGTGAGGATTAGATTTCAATTTTACCTGCACAAATATATTCAGGGCGTACCATAATCTATTGTCACACATTTTAGTGCTTATTTAATGATCATTTAAGAAAAAAAAACAAAAAAAATTGCATAATAAAAATTGTTTATTTACTGGTATTTTTTATTTGAAGTTCCATTTATTATTATTTGTATTAATATTAATTATAAATTATAATTTTATTGTCCTTTATGTATATAATATCTAAAAGAATATATATTTGACATGTAACTTGTTTTCACTAGTTAATAATTTTTGTTTGACGTAGTGACTTACTTCATTGCATTTGACGAAAGACTTCAACGTTTCGAAGACGAAGAATGGGAATCCGATTCGGATAGTTCAAACCTGATAGAGGCAGCTCAAAAAATAAACAACGCGATCCTCAAAACCGATAACGGGCCACAGCTCTGGAAAAAATTCGACACCCCTATGTACAAGAATATAAAAAAAGGACACGAACACATCGAGAAGTAAATGACATTTTATACTTTCATTATCTATTGATCGATCAGTTGTACTGTAATTATGTGCGGATTAAGTGAGGATTTCAACGATTGTGGTGATAATGAGCCATCCTTCTCAACAGCCTCATTTCTGTAACACAATTTTTTGTCTACTTTCAAACATTCCGCACGTTATATCATCATCAGAACTCACAACTGATTTGTATAACTTAAATTTCCCTTCGGTCTAACTGGTATCCTTTTATCGTACAAAACTGTCATCCAGTCACACTTGATCCTTTATACCACTGCACTGCGAATCTTAAATACTTGAATCCCCGTCGACCTGGTCGTCTCGATCACAGCGTAGCTATTACAACAGGTTAACAAAAGTTTAAAATTGTTTTCACGCTCAGAATCGCTTTACGAGTAGTGGCCGAGAAATTATCAAAGTCTCATCGAGCCCAGATCAACCCTGGCACTTCTCTACTCGACGAGTACCTCCGTTCTAACGACACCGACGTCAAAGACGTTGTAGGGATGACGGTGGACACGCTGTTGGCGGGAATCGATACGGTAATCGTACAGTTTCAAAATCGGTAATTATTGTTGACTTTGATTTGATCATTCGGAAACCCTACCATACAGGCCACGTACTCGTGTTCCTTTGCGCTCTATCATTTGTCGACGAATCCCAAAGCGCAACAAGATATGTACTCGGAAGCACTTACCCTATTGCCGGACCGAAGCAGCGAGATCACCGAAGACGTACTGGATCGAGCCGTGTACGCCAAAGCAGTGATCAAAGAAATGTTCCGAATGAATCCAATTTCGGTGGGCATCGGCAGGATACTGCCCGAGGAGTGTGTATTTTCAGGATACAGGGTACCGAAGGGGGTGAGTAATATATATTATATAATCAAGTTTAAAGGTATTTTCGATTCTTCTGTGCCTTCAACGTAGGTAATTATAATTAGTTTAGCGCCTGTAACAACGAGAAACCTTGACTTCGGATGAGTCGTTCGAGTTTAAACGTAACCTAAGTTAAATTAATAAATGAATAATATTATAATATGAGACTTAACAGCAAGCTATAAATTATCGAAACCTTTTTGTATTTTTTCCGGTTTATAAAATTGTACAAAAGTGTCGAAAAGTAATTTTAATTATGAACAAGTGATAATAGCGTTTAAATGTTAGGACTTAGGAAGTCGCATCATTTATTCGGAAATAATTTTCCCTAGGTTTTTATTTATAATGATAGTTGGTTTTATAATTTTGAGAATGAGATAGTGACAAATAGACAATTGTTTTGTTCACTAATACAGAGAAAATTTAAACTAAGTATAACTAAAAGTTAGTCAAAATAATAGTTAGAAAATGTATTTTAAAAAAATACTTACAATGCATTTGAAACATATTCAATATAAAAAAAAAAATTACATACAGATTTATGAAACCAATTTCAAATACAAAAAAAAAAGCCGGTACAGTAAGAGATTAACAAAGTAGGGTCCAGTATCGACAAATTAGGATCGAAGCGTTTTGTTGAATATGAATTTATAGGAACCTTGCACCTATTGGGGTCTTTAACTGTGCTTCTACTTAAGGTCTTTATGGCGAAAAACGGTTTTACTCGGTACCTACTGTACTTACGACATCCCTGGCGAGTTTACATAATATTATACAAACTGCGTGGTGCAGTTTTTTTATCATTTACTATTTTTATTTTTTAGTTTTTAAAACAATCATAACGTTTACAGACGGTGGTGGTGACGCAGAATCAGGTAACCTGTAGGATGGAAGAATATTTTCAAAATCCCCAAAGTTTCCTGCCTGAGAGATGGCTGAAAGACAGACCAGAATACAAACCCGTAAGCCCGTATCTTGTTTTACCCTTTGGCCACGGTCCCAGGACATGCATAGCCAGACGTCTTTCGGAGCAGTTTCTTCAAATAGTCCTTTTAAAAGTAGATTCCCCCCCCCTTTTTTTCTACCGTTGATGTGAATTCAAATGTTGTAAAATAACGTTTTACAGATTATAAGAAATTTCCAGTTGACATGGCGAGGATCTGTTCTAGACAGCAAATCTTTGTTGATCAACAAACCGGACGGACCAATCTGCATTGACTTTAAAGCGAGACATTAAAAAGTCACAAATAAGAATTTTTTTTTGTGTATTTAAAACGAAAAATATTTTTCGTGACATATGCTTTACCGAATTATAACTGTTTGACAATTCATGTGATACCTAAGTATAATTATTGATTTTGATAAATGCCGAATTGCATTAATGTTAATGACTTTATATTCCAACCTGAAATCTAGACAGCATCTACCTTACAATTAACAATTTTTTTTAAAGAATATTTACAATTTATCAACAATTTGTGAAGTAATTGCGCAGTTTTGTATCTATGTCCAAATTATAAAATAAACTATCGATAAAGCAAATTAAGTGAATAGTAAAAATAGCCAATAAATACGAATTGTTTGATTTGTTGTATTTAATAGCAGTAACGTTATTCAATTAAGATTGCTACGGAAAAAATATTTAAGATACGCAGTTTTAAAAATGTAAATATTAATTGGATATAACTTTTAAGGATATAGATAATATTAAATAACACAAAAACGGTTATAATAAATTATTATGGATTTATATTCTATACATAAAAATGTTGATAAACAAATTATAACAACATAACAACTTGTTGTATAATTAGGCAAGTCAATTGAAATTTCTATTGTTATAATAATTTTTGTAAACAGAATCCATTGTATAAAAATTATAATGAATAATTTAAAATATAACATAATATGTACTTATTGTCAATTTTGTTTACATAATTCATGGCACAATATTATATGGTATGCATAAATAAGTTATTAAAATAATTTGAGTATAGTCTAACACTATTAACCAAACAGTGTTATTTTATCACTCAAGCATTTAATGTGTACTTATAGGAAAAATAATTAGATAAAATATATATATTTAAAAAAAATTATAATTCGGACATATTTTTGTAGGTATTGTCCATAGTATAATTAGGTAATAAAAATTTAATATAGGTTTGATAAATTTGTTATTGAATAATTATAAAAATAAAACCAATTAATAAACATACAATTAGTTAATAACGTTAAAGTGGAAATATAAAAACAGTTTTGGTGTTGAAATTTATAATTAACTAACTAAATAATTTTTACTCTATGTATTGATAGCGTTTGACGAATTTATATGGTGATATAACATTTTTAACTGTGTTTTTAACTTTAACTTTTAAATCATGAAAAGGTGGTTTATAAATTCTAATAATTGGAAATGATGGCAATATACTTTTAAATGAACTAAATTTATTTAGAACCGATTTGACTGGATGATTGTAAACTGAAGGAGAATATGCTGAAGTTGAATGGCTGGTGTAACAATCGTGCTTCGAAGGTTTTGGCAAAATGATTTGGGGAGGTGCTGCTTCTTCGGGTTCAGATTCTTCGATAGTTTCTAATGGTGGTTGTGATGAAGCCTGTTCTACGCCAACGTTTGAAACTTCTTGCACAATGGGCGGGTTCGGCTTCAATAATTGATAGAAAAATGTTTTACCTAAAATACCTTGACCCGCAGTAACTTGATTTGTAGGTAACAAGAATTCTGATTGAGAAGGGGCATACTGTGGTGAATACTCAAAATTTAATAATGGAGCTGGAAGAAAAGCATTTGAGTTATCTTCGTATATAGCGTATTGATTCTGGTAATCAAAGTTTGGAAGATTTACAGGATTTACAACGTGATCAATTTGGTGAGAATATTGAGTAAAAGTTTGTAACGGTAATGATGGTACTAAAGGTTGCACAAAGACATTTTTTTCTTCAACACACGGACTTTGTACAGGCTGCGGTGAAATAACTGGAACCGGTTGAGGAGGTGGTAGCGGCTGTGGCTCTTCTTCACATGGAACTTCAACTGGTGGCTGTGCAATAATTTGAACCGGTTGTGGAGGATATGGCAATGGCTGTAATGGCTCTGGTTCCTGTTGGGGAGGTTGTGCTAAAGGTAGAGGTTCTTCCTCGCATGGAATTTCTATCGGTTGTTGTGAAATAACTGGAATCGGTTGAGGAGGTTGAGGTAGTGGTTGCGGTTCTTCTTCGCAAGGATATTCTACTGGTGGTTGTGATATGATTTCAATCGGCTGTGGAGGGGCTGGCAATGGCTGTAATGGCTCTGGTTCTGGTTGATATGGTACTTCTGGCAATGATGGTGGAATAATAGGAATTATTTGAGGTGGTTGAGGTAGTGGTCGCTGTTCTTCCTCACATGGATATTCTACCGGCGGTTTTGAAATAATTTGAATCGGCTGTGGAGGAGATGGTAATGGTTGTAACGGCTCCAGTACAGGTTGTAGAGGTTGTGGTGGTTGCAATTCTTGTTCACATGGAATTTCCACCGGTGGTTGTGATACAATTTGAATAGGTTGTGGAGGAGATGGCAATGGTTGTAACGGTTCTAGTTCTGGCTGCGGTTCTTGTTCACATGGAATTTCTACCGGTGGTTGTGAAATAATTTGAATCGGTTGAGGTGGAGATGGCAATGAAGGCAAAGGTTCTGATTGATATGGAGCTTCTGGCAACGATGGTGGAATGATAGGAATAAGTTGAGGAGGACTTGGCAATGAAGGCAAAGGTTCTGGCTCTGACTGAGGAATCTGTGGTGGTAGTAGTGGTTCTTCTTCACACGGAGCTACAAATGGTGGTTGTGATATAATTTGAATAGGCTGTGGAGGAGACGGCAATGGTTGTAATGGCTCTGGTTCCTGTTGAGGAGGTTGTGCTAAAGATTGAGGTAATTCCTCGCATGGACTCTCTACCGGAGGTTGTGAAATGATTTCAATCGGTTGCGGTGGGGCTGGCAATGGCTGTAATGGTTCTGTTTCTGGTTGATATGGTACCTCTGGCAATGATGGTGGAATAATAGGAATTATTTGAGGTGGCTGAGGTAGTGGTCGCTGTTCTAACTCACATGGACATTGTACCGGAGGTTGTGAAATAATTTGAATTGGTTGAGGTGGAGATGGCAATGAAGGCAAAGGTTCTATTTCTGGTTCTGGTTGAGGAACTTGTGGTGGTGGTATTAGCGGTTCTTCTTCACACGGAACTGGTGGTTGTGATACTATTTGAATCGGCTGTGGAGGAGATGGCAATGGTTGTAACAGCTCTGGTTCTGGTTGTAGAGGTTGTGGTGGTGGTTGTAATTCTTGTTCACATGGAATTTCCGCCGGTGGTTGTGAAATAATTTGAATCGGTTGAGGTGGAGATGGCAATGAAGGCAAAGGTTCTGGTTCAGGATCACATGGAGTCTCAAGTGTTGGTAATGGTTGTGTTGGTGGTGGTGGTGGTGGTGGTGGTAGTGGTTTTGGGGTTTGAGGTACAACTTCATCAGTATCACATGGTTTAATGTTTATTATAGTTTTTGACGACTGTTGGTCTTTGTGGAATCTTGCTGGTATTCTTGGTACCGCTGGCATAACAATTGTTTGAATTGGTATGGGACCTTTGGGTAAGGAATTTAAATCGTCCACCTTTGTTTCATATTGGCCAGCTAAAAATGTACTTTTTAACGGCACCCAGTTAGTATACTGTTGTTCATCAATATCGTCTTTATATTGCTCATTAGTCAAAATATAAGAGGCGCGTTGTGGTTGCCGAATAACTGTTTTCTGTTTAACAACTCTTTCGACAACTACCGGTGCATCACCAAAGTCGCTTTGAGAAGTAGATTTTGTTTTTATTTTTATTGTTTTTTTGGTTATAAGTGGAGTTTCGTCATACTCATCTGAACTGGACTTGGCTGATTTTGTTCTTACTTTTGTAGTTTTTTTTATTATAGTCGGTTGCGATATACGTTGTCCGTATAATAAATCTTGGGAAGTAGGCACTATAACACTGTCTTCCATAGGCGGCAAAGGTACAAATGGATTTCCCATATGATCAACTTTTGAGTTTATTAATGGTGGTTCAGTATATTTGTCTTTAGCTACAGGCCTTAATTCTTTCCAGTACCGACGGCGAGATGAACGGATCGGGTGATCATTGTGTGGAGACGATGTATTTTCATTTTCATTTGAATCGTTATTTACTGGTGATGTCAATGCATAATCCCACAGCAACAAATGTATTGCCACCCAAATTACTTTGGGCACCTATAAAAAAAATGTATAGAGTGTATTTGTAAATTTTCAATGTCGTACATTGAAAAAGCATTTATAACAAGGTCCTATTCATTTCAATCATACATTTTGTCACCTAAAACCTAATTAATAAGTCCTCAAAATTATGGTTATTGACAAGAGGCTATATACTTATTTTAAAATAATGAGAAAATAATTTACTTGTTTAAAAACAATTATATATTTCCATAAAATATTACGATGTAATGTAATAATTAAACTCTATCAAATATTTGTATTGTTTAATATCGATTCTTATTACCATTTATGGACTATGTAGTCAAACATAACAAAATAAAGACTCTGAAAAATGACTGATTCATTCTTAAACTTGAGTTATTTTTTCAGTCATTTAAGGAGTACGTCATTTTCATACAAGCTCTTAAAGACAATTAAATTCTAACGATGGTTTGTTAGCAACAAAATGTATGTTTCAGATAATATTTCAATAGATATGAAAAAAACCCTTTATGATATTATATTGCAACTGTTGCATTAATTCAAAATATATATGATAGAGATAAGAGATCTCGCTAGTTATGGTTCTATGCTGGATCTTTATAGGTTATAGGATTCATCCTATATCCCTGTAAATAGAATCCAAATAATAAAAACAAATCTCAAAAATTAGAGTATTTTTTTACTCGTTTAAATCCGATTTCCAGGGGTCCAACAAAAAAATCCTCCCATTACCCATGTAAGGACCCCCTAATAATATTAACCTAGCTTAATTATTAAAAACAAATAAGTAAGGCTGGTATAAAAAAAATTATTGAATAGAAAACGTTGTATAATGCAAATTATAACAAAGATTATAAATAGCCAGTATAGCCTAAATAAATTATCTAATAATTTTTATACATCAACGGAATTATTTCTCAGTATAACATTATAAACTATGTAGATTATAGTTATATCGGGTTTTAAAAAATGTATCCGTTTAGTCAGCTTAGGATATATTTTATAATTTAAAAAAACATATCAGTGTATCCCTTAAGATTTATATAAATAGTTATTAAATAACTAATGGCTTTAAATTGTCCTCCAGTTTTAAGACGACTAATTATTTTTATTTTCATTTGAATATTATGTATTACGAAGTGAGAAAGATTTGAAAAAAAAAACATATCCATGTTAAAATGATTTAAAATAACAATTTCATTAGACAGTACACATTATATTATATATATATATATATATAGTCGGATGTACTATACTTTTTTAATGTCCATTAAAAAGGTATAATAACGATGATATACTGAAAGAATAAATACACAATTGTTTCAAAAAGTATAAAAACACTAAATGATTATACATACAACCAGGAAAACTCTAAACAAAATTTGTTGGTAGTTAGTTCATCTAAACCGTAAAATAATTGAGACTATTTTATTTTGGCGATATTTCTTATAATTTTCGAGTTTTTTTAATGAGTATTATTAAATAAATAGTTATTAAAAAAGTAAATAGGTATTTGTTTTTATTTATAAGCATTCAAGGAATTTACTCCAACTATCACTCATAAAAATCAAACACTATTAGCTTAGTGAATAAAAAATATAAAGCACCTTCATGATATTTAGAGAAAAAAACAAAAATTAAAGTTTAAATAGTAATTCGAAAAGACATATCATTATATTATAAACGATCAAAATATGTTGTTTAATATTGTGATTATTTCGATGCAATAGTAGGTGATTGTAGGCGATTAAATTTAAATTCACATAACCGAGCAAAATATAGAAAAGTATTACTTACCACCATATTGTTGAATAACGATCGACCACAAATGCACTATCAGATTTGACGGTTTACACAGAATTTCGGGTCGTATATACAACACTGTGTCCCCTTTAGGCATTTACCTGTGACAAATCCCGAAACTAGAAAAATAAGGGGATAATGTTTATTGTATATAATACATTAAACTACTTGTCCAAGTGCCGGACTTATAGCGCTGTGGTTTGCCTTGAGACAGTTTATTTTCATTCTATAATTATCTACTATACTATTGGATAAATAGTATACATATTATTAATATTATAGGACAAATTAGAAAACAATAATAATTCCACCGCATATCTGACGACAGCAATTAAAATGTTTTTTATAAAATAAAACCATGTTTTATAATATATTATAAGGATTTCTAAAAAACACATTTCTGCTAATTCCTCAATTATAGTTTTTTTTTTTAATATTATGATGACCAATGTAGTTGGAATGGACGGCGTGCGAGCGTTTTGTTTCCAATGTCAAATAGGTGGTAATGCTTGTCCAGTTGTTATACATAATATTACAAAATGCTATTATTTATTTCTATTGCATACTTATGTAATACGTAACAAATGAAATTAATTTGTTTTGATCATTTTTTTCTTATAATATGGTAATCACAATGTGCATACGTTGCCTACATAATCCATAAAACAATACCAAATTAACTTCGATAGACAACTTTCAGAAATCTTTTCTCTTCTATATGATCCGCCCTCCTAGCCCCTATATAGTATACTGCTTAAGTTTAACTTCTTTAACAAATATTTTACCCACTATCCGATTGCCTCTGATTTGTTTTAAATTTAATAAAACCGTAAATACTCTAATAACATAATATAATTTAATTAAGAATAACAACTCAATTATATGTGTCATTTGTGAACAAACATATTATGAATCATATGAATAGCTTAGTTTAAGAGTGGAGTGAGTGCCCTAAAGATATGCATGATACATAATATGTTTATCCTTGAAGAGTAGGACAATTTAATGAACTAATGGTCTCAGAATAAAATTTAGGCGCCAGAAATAATTTAAAGTATTTTTGGTATTTAATAGTTATGTGAAAAACTACAATCCGTCTAATTTTCGAACTTTAAACGCAAAAAAGGGGAAAATTAAATAAAAATGTCATTCTTTCTAAGAGAATACATGGTTGGTATATAATTGTTTATACTGCAGCGGTAGTTGATTTATGTCAAAAAAATGTAAATTTATAATCTTCCTCCCTAACTTATGACCACTGATTAAAACCTAATTACCTTTGACAATAAAATTAACATATTATATATTTATATACTAATATAATTAAAGAATGTCACTTTATCATTTTTCGCCCTACATTTTTTTGCATTTACTATTTTTTATTTAAATATTTTATACTCGAAATTTCCAAGCATTAATTTCTTAAAAACACATTTTTTTTAAGTACTATTATTTTCTTAATACCTATTTATTAGTCTTAATTAAAAATTGCAATAAAATAAAAAATGTTAGTTGTACCTTCATAGAGTATAGAAAATGTTATATGTGGTTGATACAATTAGGAAAATACCATACGTTATTTCCCTTGCATTGATAACTAATTAACATATACAGCTTGTTTTTGGTACTTTTGTAGTTTTACAACTTAACTCTTACCTATTTATCTTTGTTATGATATAATACATCGACGATAAGATTTTGTTTTTTTGGAAATGTTCTGTTATACGTCGATGGAGAACATACTTACTGAGGTTTATAAAGTTTATCTTGTCAATTTGAAAACTATGTTTGGCACTATAGGTAAGCGATTGAAGACATTTTAATCAGTACGGCCTTAACGCTTACAGAATTTATGAAGTGTGATTTTACCGTAATGTTTTTGTTTTTACACAAGTTGGAAACTGTTCAATTTAACAACTACAAATTGAATTTTAAGTACCCACGTAGATGCGAGAAAATATTAGTTTTGTAAACACATTGCCCAACTACTATGTTTTCACACTTTTCTCCTTAAGTTTAAAAGGCATCGACACCGAATCGATCACCAACAGTCAACCGGTCCTTTTATATTAAACCGCACACGGATCATCTCTATAGTACTCCAACAAAAATCATTTTGCCCAACTTCAGGCCGAAGGCAATGGAATCTTCAATAATGTTCACAGTAAGTAACACTGCTAGTTTATTTATGATTCGGTTCAGTCTGTTTTACACAACCGGCAAATTAGTTCAAATCCATTGGTTACAGGTCGAATAGTGATAACTTCAAAATTATAGGCAATTTTTTTTTAAATAATAGTGTCATTGTTTTTAAAAATAAACATTTTAGATGTACGAGTAAAACTATATAATGTGTCTATAGTGCGCCAAAAATATGCTTTAATATGAAGAGGAAATGTTTTGTACAACTGTAGCGAGGCCAATGTGGTGTAATAAAGTGTCGACCGTTGGAAAAGAGAGATAAATATGTCTGAAATGAGAATGTTTGGACGCATGTGTGGTGATTCTAGGTTTGATAGAACTCAAAATGGACATGTATTTTAAAGTAGGTGGTTAATCAAATAGAGTGATTTAGAGGTAGAGATATACCGAAACAAAGTGTTTGAGTGTTATACACTAAAAATTGCGAATAAAAAAAATAGTGGTGTACAGAGATTTTGGATTGGCCTTAACATTTGTATTGGGTAAGGTTTAAGACAAAGAAGAAGGCTAGTAAAATAATGTTTACTAGCTTAAACAAAGCGTCTGTTAAAAATTTATCAAACCAGTACCTCAACCCCCTTTTTGAAATATAATATGTCATTACAGTGAAAAAGCCTGGCATAACTGACTGACTTTTGCATTGTTTTTTTTTTAAGGCGATCATTTTGTCCGTCGTCTTAGTCAGCCTGTGCTCAGGTGCGCCAACTGCAGAGACGAAAGCAAAAGCGCCTGTGGCTTTTCTGCAAAACGACCACATCGTTGATGAGGCTGGTCAATTTTCACTCGGGTGAGTCGACCGAATTGAGTTTGCTTTTGTATTGTACCTAATAATAATGACCTTTAACGTTTGAAAATCGTTGAAATTTTCAGCTTTAGCAGCGTTGACGGTATCCGGTACACAAAACAAGGAGCTCTGGTACCAAACGACGAAGGCGACGGTTACGTTATGGCCCAACAAGGAGAATACTCGTTCATCAGCCCCGAAGGAGTTGAAGTGAAAATGGCCTACATTGCCGACAAGGACGGTTTCCGTGTGACAGGTTACCCTCTACCAGCGCAAGCCAAGGCTTAAAAATTAACAACTAAATATTTTTATCTGGGCCGTGTACAAACGCTTAAAAAAATACACTAACTGGCGTTTATAATTGATAACGAGTTTTTATTGTTTTGCAAACCGAACGGTTGCTCTTAACCTTTACAGGCCCGCCTTGTAGAAACGAAAAATTATTCTGTTGATAACAAATTAACCACCAAATTAGCGGTTCCCGTCTTGAGTCGCTTACAGTGAATAAATCTGCTGGTAATTGTATACTATATTTTTGAAGCAGAAATAGTATTATTCGTATACAGATAACTGTCGAGTTTGTCGTGTGATAATATTTGATAACATCATCTTACCATAACCGTAGTAACTGATAATATCAACACAAAATATCTATTAATAAACATTGAAGTATATAATTAATCGACAACACACATTTCTAAACCCAAATTGACCAACAATTTTGGTATTAATATTGTTTTAACTGAAAAATTACTATGAAATATTTTTTCAGCAGCGGACATAAATCAAATTAGGCAAACGCATCGTTAAAAAAAAAAACATTCATATTTAAGAAAATGTATTAATCCTTTATTTAATTATGCATCTATAGCTTTTATAACTGTTATGGAATGTGTATAATATTGCTCTAATTGTTAGTTGTTTTCAATAAAATTAGCCAAAGGCATAAGAACGACGTGTTGCTCAATTTTCGTGACGAACAACAAAACCAGTAAACGGGCAAGGTCACTCTATAGGAACTGACGGCAAGCGGTATGTTTGATGAGTTCAAAATAAATATATATATTATGTGGTGGTGTAAAATATCAGTTTAAGTATTTTTATAAATAAGTATTGGTCACAATATTTATAAAATAATTGATCGATTAAAATGTTTCATTCATTTTCCAGAAAACTGTTTCGATTATTGTTAATGCATTTAAGTATTATTACACTTATAAATGGTTTTTAATCGATTTTTGCACTATTTACAAATTTTCGCTTTGTATTTGGAACAAAAACGAAAAATCAAAGTATAGACATTTTATAGGACTTTTTTTTTGCCAAATCTGTCTCAATATTTCTCCAACATGCCAATTGCCAACTAAAATGTAAATAGCTTACATTACTTTCAGAAATTATACTATAATTCCGTAACCAGTAGTGAATTAAAAAAATATATAAAACCTTATAACACGCTAAAAATAGTGTTTTTACAATTTTGGAAGAGAATTAAAAAATAACTAGAGGTGCCAGAGAAATTCTGAGGCCAATTCGGAAATGGCATAACTCGGTTTTGTTTTAAAATCCTGAAAGTTAGTTCTTTTTTCAATTTTTAAAGGCAAAACGATTGGGAAAATAAGAAATTTTTTGTAACAAAAATAATTAAGTAGGTAACGAAAAAACCGTTTTTTTACATATTCAAATTTATCTACTTTATCGATGGTTCAACTTTAACCCAAAAATATTCACTTGTACTGACTAAAATAATGTTATACATTAGTAAAATATTAGTATTTGTAATATAATATAGTAATATATAGTATAATTAGTATAATATTAGTAATTTTTTTTCATTAGTATTTGTGCAAATAGACAGCAGACACCGTTATTTAGCAAGATTAAACTATTTTGAGATTGTAAACGTCTAAATTCAAATTATTATTTTACTAATTTTGTTGAAAAATAAAACCATAATATTTAACTATTAAATAATTTTTATCATTGTTTTAAACATTCATACTCGTGGACGAATTATTAGTAAAAACCCGGTAAACATGGATTTTGGAATCTCACCTGGTGTACTTTCCTAGCTACTACACTATAAACTACTTAAATTTCTCTACCATATATTTACCACTATTGCTCTACAGCATAACGAACTATGTGTTATTTTATGTTCAAAGATAAGATATATATATGGTACACCAATTAGGACTGGGAAAGTTCTAACCCATTTAAGGTCAGCTCGCTTCCCAAAACGCTTACCTTCTATATAATAGGAAAGCTACAGTTGGGCAAAATTTTAAATTTTGATCAACAAATTTTGTTTAGATAAAATATATAAAAAAACATATTTTTTAACTTAAAAATCGTATTTTAAAAATTCTGAAAAATCTAGATTTTGCCCAACGCCTCGCTGTAAAGCCGAGAATTTGAAAAAAGGTGGCTCTGTTAAATAGTATAACCAATTTATAGATAAAGGTACGCCGATTGTTTTTTATTTGTTATTTATTTATTATATAATAATAACTACAAATATTTCAGAACACAATCTTGTTGTCGGAACAATGAATAAAAGGATTTGTTGTGACGGCGCTGGTCGTCTTCTAGGCTGAAGCCGCTTGAGGTTGTTCCGGCAGAGGATATCCTTGGACCTTAAAACCGTCCTTGCCGGCAGTGTAGGTCATTTTTACTTCCACGCCTTCAGGACTGATGAAGGAGTAGGTGCCCTTCTGTTCCATCACGTAGCCGTTACCTTCGTCGTTGACCACCAAAGCTCCTTGTTTGGACTGGGTTATACCGTCGGTAGTCTTGTACCTGAAAGCCAAGAAAGATAGAGATAAAAAGTCATATTAGTTCGCTACATAAGCCATCAAAGACAGCTGAAACCCACAACAGAGCGAATTGCCCGGCGTTGTCGTTGATCTGATCGTTTTGGATGAACGTGGCTCCGGATGGGGAGGGTGCGGCTAAGCAAGAACCGACCAGTACAAAGCAAACGGCTAAGACCTGTAAAACAAACAAAAACGACACATCACAACCAAAGTCCATTAATAATTAAAACCGACCACACTTACGGCGAACATGTTGCTCGTTGGATTTTTTTTAAAGGTTAATAAGGTAGAACTAATAGTGTTGTGTGCTGATGAAGTCGCTGACTGACGACCGTATGGCGTTGTCATCTTTTTATATAGGGAAAAAATCTGCATTTCAAAATAGACCAATGGGGAAACTCCGAAAAAAACTTGTTCGATACACTTAAAATGACGTTAATCATATACTATCGTGTAGAAAATTAAACAAATTTCAAAATGTCCAAACATCGTTTGTTTACAAAATAGCAACTGAGGACACTAATTAATCAATGTTGCAATCGCATACTTAAAACCTATCTAAGTATACTCTATTTGTATACTAATATTGTGTAAGCCGTTGTATAACTCAAAAACATGCATACACACCGCCGGCCTTTTTGTGATAGAAATAGTTTTTTTTTAAATACCAATATAGTTAATACAGGTAGGTACATTTATTAATACTGCAATGCCCATTTTCCTTTTTGAAACAATTTTTTTAAACTAATTTAGATAGGAACTTACCCAGATTTTAGGGTATATAACGGAAACATGTTTAAATCTAATTTGTACGAAACATGTTTACCTACTATTAATTCTTAACTTTGCAAGAGCCAATTTATTGTAAAATATAAAGTAGTACTTTTTACTTTTTACTTAGATGTGAAATATTGAACGAAAACTTGATTTATTTAACACTTTATTTTTTTTAAATAATATTGTATATATTTGTTTAGTATTAAAGTCAAATCACATATTATGATAGCCGATCTATGTCTTTCCGTACTCGTATCGTCCGTTCAATGTCCAGACATACAAACAGACATTCGTTTTTATATATTATATAGATTGAAAATCCCATCAGCATGGTGTTTAAAATCGTTTAGGTAAAAAATCACGATTTTGGTAAGTTTTTGTATTGAAAAATATAAGTAGGTTTTTGTTCGTACAGTTTAAGAAAACCCTTTTATGTTATTCAAAAACTCTATCTAATGCACAGACCACAAAAATACATAATATATTACATTTTTAACGAGACAGCCATTTTGGTGTTGAAAACTGACTTAACACGAGAAAAGTGATTCGTGCCTCATAGAGCAATTGGATTTTCATAATTTCTTTTTTTGTTTGTCCAAAACTTAAAATACCTAAATGATTTTGGACGAATACATAATCTAGCTAAGATACATTTCTGCAAGGCATAAGCAAATGCTATTGTATTCATTATTTACCTACTTTATTATGGTATTTCAACATTTTTTAGTTTGTTCTTTGCTTTCTAGAAAATGTTGTTTGACAAAACTTTTACTAAAATTATTTTAATAATTATAAAAAAAAAAGTTGTATTTTAATTTTATAGTGGTGTAGCTAATCAATACAACCATTATTTTTAATTTTTAATAAAACTCATTCATCTTTATTAGTACTTATGGCAACACTGCTCGTTCGGTTATCAGCTATTAATTAATTATTTCTTATCACAATTATTTACAAGTCGGAAAGTCAACAAACTAGTAAAATATCGTTTATTTAAAAAAATTTAAAACATTAGTTGTATCATATTTTGTCGTGTAATTCACACAAATCATTCCGATATACATGTTTAACAAACATTTAAAGTAAGTAAAGTTTCAACTAAACATTAATTTGTTACCAAAAAATATAAATTACATCGAGATCTCGACCCACTATTTGGTTTTTATCCAGTATTGTACTTTACATAGTAAAAAAAACAGTTAAGTAACATAATTTTCATTTTTAAAACGTCTGTTGTCTTAGAAATGTCTGCGGGAGAAGTCGTCATGGAAGTGCCAACGAGTCTCAAGCGTCTTGCTCGTCTGGTCGTAAGAGGCTTCTACACGATTGAGGACGCGCTCATAATCGACATACTGGTTCGTAACCCTTGCATGAAGGAAGACGACATGTGCGAGCTTCTCAAGTTTGAAAGGAAAATGTTAAGGCAGCGAATCGCTATACTGAGAAGTGAAAAATTTTTACAAACTAGACTGCGTATGGAAACTGGAGCGGATAGTAAAGCGCAAAAAGTTAACTATTACTTTATCAACTATAAGGTACCTAATTACTTATTGAATATACACATATATTTTTTTTGTAAATTTTCATTAAAATTTTATTTTTTTAATTCATTTAGTCGTTTGTAAATATGGTTAAATATAAACTGGATTGTATGCGGAAAAAAATGGAAACGCAAGAACGTAATGCTACAAGTCGAGCGAGTTTTAAATGTGTTCAATGTTTCAAAACATTCACAGATTTAGAAGTACGTATTAATTGTTTTTTTTTTTACTGTTTTAAGAAATTACTGCTGAAGTCAATATCTTGTTTTAGACATGTTTATTATTCTATCAAACAAAATATTTTAGGCAGATATGCTTTTTGACTTTCAAACTAACGAGTTCCATTGTACATTTTGCGGAGAACTAGTAGAAGAAGATACATCTGTCCTACCTCAACAAGATTCTCGTGTGATGCTGGCTAATTTTAATGAAATTATGGAACCATTCTATTCGATTCTTCGTGAGCTCGAGGGTATTCGTCTTGCACCTGAACTTCTCGAACCTGAACCCACCACTATCCTTGGGTTTGTTAATTGTTTATATATAACATCTAGATATTACAAATATACACGATCACTGACACAACTTGCACTCATCATACAAAGTATTTGTATTACCAGTATTTTTTTAATGTCATTTGGAGGTTAAAACCATGAAATTTCGAAAAGAACAAATCAGGGACACTTTAATATATACATAATATAATATAATATATACTCTAATGTGTATACATATATATGTGTGTGTGCGTGTGTGTATGATTGATGTTAAATTATTTTATTTTTGTTCAGGTTGGACTCGTCGAACCTACAAGGTTCAGGCAATAGACAAAACAATGGTATGGAGCGATGGGGACCAGATAAAATGCGAAATATGGATAATAGCAATAAAATGGAAGTTACTATTGGCGAAGACCTTCAAGACAATCGTCCAGTTGTCAAAGAACGTCCTGTATGGCTCACAGAAAGTACCGTCGTGGAAAACACTTCTACACGTGTATGTATTATCAGAGATGTGTAAAAATTATACGAATAATGAATTAACCAATAATTTTATTCAAAAAAATTATTTGAATACAAATTTAATGAAAATATCCATTACTGTATTGTTGATTAAATTTTGTTTACTAAATTATTTTGATCATAAAAATATCATTTGACATTTGTGTTAAAGGATTCTGTTGAGATGGATATTAAGGACAACACCGAAGGAAATGCTCTTGATTTTACACCAGACGTCGACATAATGACCGTGCTACTACAACATGAAAAACGTGCAGATCAGACAGATGCGTCTGGTAAGAAAGACGCGGATTCCAGCGATGAAGAACTATCCAAGACTATTAAAAATGAAGGTTCTATTGGATCAGGTACTTGAAGAATACTCTTTCGTTTGTTATATTTTTTTTTTTCGCCTTTACTATAATTGACAAATATTCAAACATACGTGTATCTTTATTAGGCGTGGAAGAACTGACATCCGAAGAAGAGGAAGACGAGGACGTTCCTCTGGTGAGTGTTGGTGGTCGACGCGTGCCAATCACAGAAGTGGTGAACATGACAGACGCAATCAGTCAAATGACGCCTTCAGAAAAAGAACACTACATACAAGTGTACCAAGATTATTTCTCAGCGCTTGGCGATTAAAATGTTGGTAGCTAATTTACCTCTGGTTGTATTTTTGTGATATAGGATTTTTTTGTTTTTTTATTAATTGAATTTTGTTGAATTCATAGAACTTTGTTTCTAAATGTGTAAAAAAAAAAAATATATATCGAATTATAACTGATCATCATCATTCAGGTTGCCTTATAATTTTTATAAATTACATGAAAAGCCTTATGTTAATTAATTTTTTTTCATTCTAAATTTGTATTGAAGTACATATTTTAATGTATGATATTTAGAGAAGTGTTATGTTTAAAATAATAAACATATGTAAATAATAACGACTGTAATGTTTATTATGACAAATTTTTGTAAGCTATATTTTTAAAAATTATTTATTTAATAAACATGTCTAAGGTTTATTAATATACCAAGATAATTTTTGTTTCCTCCTATCTGTATAATTGAATAAATCAACAGTTAAAAATTAATTTACAGAATAAATAATGTCATAATTAACACGTTCACTGTCCTAATGTTAAATTTAATCAAAAGTTATCAGTCCTATGATCCATATATGGGTCACGTTAAACCTATTTTAGTAATCCATGATCCACATGTGGTTCATTTCAAACATTTATTTCTCTGGAGATTTATTTGTATGGACTATATTCTATATTCTAATTCATATTAACACAGGTGAGATGATAGGGACTTAATTAATTAATTAGGGACTTATCTATAAATAAATCATGAACCACATAGGGGTCATCGGACAGTGAACGTGTTAAAAAATTAAAATGATAGGAAAAAAATAATTATTATTAAAAGATTAGAAAAAAGGATATCACTATTAATAGATTTGGTAGAAAAGTAAGTATTGATTTCTGTTTTTTTTTTTTTTTTTTATAGTATTTTACACTTAGAACTTAAATGACTATGTTATACAATACACCTACTACAGATACAAATGTATCATTCTTTTGACAATATTGTATTAATTTTTTTCCTATACATATTTTATTATTCTGTAATCAAGGACAGGATAGACATTGGCTATCAGGTTTGTCTATTAGCCGTTACTCGTTAGGTTAGTTTTAACAAAATTGTATTCCTAATAAACTTTAACCCAACTATTACTATCCTCTGCTTTAAATTGGTATGTGTTAATCAAATAGCTGTTCTCAAGTTGTTGTTTCAATATATTCTAAATACATCACTGAAAAAAAACTACTAAACTGTTATGCTGTTAAATTCCCTATTTAAATAAATACATCAAAATAAAGAATATAGGATTTCATTTTTCGTTGATGTCGCTAAATTTGTAAAATCATATTATGGCTGATTTAACCGAAATACGAATAAAATAATTTGTATTAAAACCATTGTACTATTTTATTATGTAAAACCATTGAAAAGTATCAGTAAATAACATCATCGAATGGAAACAGACAAATGTGTACTCAGTACTGTCGCTGTTGGATTAATTTAAAACGTTGGCATAGTTGAATTTATAGATTGTTAGAATAACTGAAGTCGAGTCTTTGGATTTCTTCTTCTATCATGTTTTTGTATCAAGTAACTTTAATTGTCCAATTTGCTTATTGTACTTATTGTATACAGATTGTAAGTAAAGTTTAGATTAAAAAAAAAAAGATAGTTAAAATAAAAAAATAAAAACGCAATTAAAATTATACCAACCAAAATTAGTTTACCAGGCCGGAAATAAATTATTTTTATTATTAATAATAAGGTTTTTCATAATAAGGTTAAAACCTTATTATGATTAAAATCAGTATAATATGATTCACTGGGGAAATACCTATAATTTATGTACAATTAATTAATCGGTAAAGGGATTTGTAGTTAGAGCAGTAAGTGTGCGTTTGTTAATCAGTAAATAAGTTAAATATTTTGTGAAACATTAAGTGCAGAGTTCTCATAATGGAAAAGTCTATTAATCCGTTGACTTTGTTAGTCACATGTTTGGAGATTCGATTTCAGAGTTTCGGCAGAATGAATAATAAGACAAACGCCTTCGACACTTGTCTTGTCTGGATTTCCAATGTGAACAACTACTTTCCAGCACCCGTAAGGTAAGAGGGGGTGATATTTTGACACCACCTTGCCGTTGTGAATAGCGATTTGCCCCTGTAAAAATTAAAAAATATGCACAGTTTCAATGATATTTACTAAGTTGTTAAAACATAACATTGTATTACACTCTTCACCGGACAGCGACCTTCGAAATTTGAAAATTTTTGAACGATTGGCACTAACAACATGTCAGTGAACAGAAAAATACAAATATTTTTGCTCATCGCGCTTTTGTTTTTCACCCATTGTTCGTTTGTTTTTTTATATACATCGACCACAATCTATAGTTTCAAAAAAAAAAATAAACAATATATTTGGTTTTTTATTTTATTTAAGTCGGTCTAGTTTCAAACCTGAAAATTGTCTTCCGAACCAATATTTCTTAGGAACTCAAAGTACCCATATCCGTTTGTATTGTACACTGAATAATTGTAATGAATGTTCCATACATAACGAATGTCGTCGTTATCACAGTTATAACCCTTTTCCAAAATTAACGTGTGCTGGAATAAGTAAATATGAATATAGAATAGGTAATCGATACGATTACTAAAAATTAAAAAATAACGTTTTAACATCCCAGTGAGCTTTTTTGAGAGAATTCAATAACTTAATTATTACAATAAGCATTTTTTGTTTGTTCATTCACTCTCCGAAATCAGCCTATAAATTCAGAAATTAATTATTATACCTACTTACTTTTGAAGTTATCTTTTCTTAATTTAACGTTCATTAATAACGAAAATAATCCAGCCAAAAATATTTGTGATTAAAACAATCATTATTTCAAGTTTCTATTTTTAGAAGGTACCATAGAATAATATTGCGTTAGCTTTGTACAACGAATGGATTTGAAATATTTGTTGCATTAAATGTTTTTTTTAGAATAGTTAAATTATTTATTCTCAGTCCTTTCAAAATATTCCATTATTATACAAAATAATATAATATACATAGATTTTTCATTTTTGGGCTATTGTAAACACAAATAGTTCATCAAACCAAACGGTAAATAATACAATTATGTTGCTTACTGATTGAGAGTTAGCAATATACCACATAAATAATAGAAACTCGACGAAGAACTGCATTTTGTTGACAATAATTGTACTAAGTTACTATATCCAATATGTATATTTGTTTTACTCAATGTACAATTGAAATGTGTATTCACCTAAATTAGACACATCATGCATTGTGTTCATTCTCCCCCTTCTCCATACACTAGGTCTATTAGCAGATAGTATGTTTTTTAGATTTAATGAATAACAAATATTTTGTATCAATGACCTTGTATATATTTTGTATCAATGACCTTGTATTTTTTCAAACTTTTGCATTGAATTAATGAAAAACCTAACAAGATAGTTCAACACAAATTGGGCTACATTGGATTAAGTATAACTTAAATCGATTGCACTATACAGTGATATGATTATCATTCAAATAACAGAATGGGCATTGGTTAACGAGTTTTTCTCGATTAACAATGTTAATTATAATAATAATTATTATTATGAAACAAGTTAGATCTGAAAAAAATATTCAAATATAATATCTTTCAACCCAACTACACATATCACCACCGCTGTTCTTTAAATATTTACTTAATACAACACTAAAAAGTGAACAATTAAACCAAATAAATATTTTATATACTATTATGCCTGTATTTAAATACACAAAATTAAGAGTACATTTACAATGTCCAAGGGCAGGATTTGGACCTTCAATCGGCTCGGGAAATTGTGTTATATCGCTACACGCGTTTTTTTTTTTTTTTTTGCTAGCTCTGAATGAGATGACGCGTGCTCAGACAGAATAATATTTTCGAAATTTTTTTTCCGCTCCACCGTAGGAAATTTGGAGCTAAATCGGATGGGCCAACTCTCATTTTTCTATATTCCAAACAACCGTATAAAGTTATAATTGGGAAAAATTCAATACTACCATTGTAGTTTTACAGCGACTTTTATACTATTTTTTAAGGCTTTCTTTACATCATTTCTTTTAAAATATAAGTTTTTTTTGTATAATACGACATTATAATATTATGGAAGTTATATGACTGGTTATTAGAGTTGTAGGACCTATAAATTTAAGTACCGCGACAAACTAAAATTATACAGAGACATGTTTATTTTATACTTTTAATGAAGGCATATTTAAAAAAAAAATAGTTGCCATTGCTCTTGTCAGTCTAATGACTGATGATTACTTATCACAGTTTTTAGGCATAACCATTAAAAGTAAGAAAAATATAAATATAATAAAATAAGTACAAACCTTAGACAGAAAACTACTAAAAAGTATTTGTGTAATACATACTAAAGTATTTGTTTATTAGTACAGTTATGACGATTTTTTTATGCAGAGATTAATTTTTACATCAATAAATGTAAACTTTTTTTTTATTAGACACATTACAATAATACTCATCTTGACAATTAGGTAAATTTACAATAAGATACTTAACATTAAGACAAAAAACAAATAGAAAAACATCTTAGAATAATACAATTGTATTGAAAAGCTTTTAGAAAGAAAGACATTAACAATGGACGACATAAGAAAGACTTCCGAGGACTGAAGATAATAAGGAAAGAAAATTGAAATATTAATATTATTAAAAGGATTTGGGGGGACATGACGTTTAGCAAAAAGGACAAAGCATTCAAAAAGAAGATGAGAAGTATTACAGAAATAAAAACCATCATGGCGGGGACAATAAGAGGGAACATTTAGGGATAAACAAAAGTAGTGAGCTGGAAGGCGTTTATGTCCCGTCTGGAGGCAAGAATAGGAAATAACTAATTTGCGGGAAATAGGGATATTGTAAAACCAGGAAAAGGATAGGTCAGAAGGGTGGACTGAACAGAAAGAAGCCGGAAAAGACGCAGGTAGGTTTTTCCAGTGAAAATTACAAGAGCGAAAGGCGAAAACCAAAAACAAACTTTAGACTGGAAACCTAATGCTCTAAAATTTAGTTGTGCCGTACTTAGCAATACGATGGCCTTCCGTCTTTAGAGGGATAAATACATTTAACATTCCAATCCGTGTTTTAGATGTTAGCTACAATGGTATAATATCTACGACAACGTCGAAACCACTTTCTTAGGTTCAGCTGTCTCACTCCTCGCAAACGGCCCAGAATAGCTAAGTAGTAAATTAATTTTTTGACCTTTACAGTTGTGCCTTTAGTAGTATAGGTCATGCCCGCTTAAATCCTTAGCGTGTAGCGTGTATAATTAAAACATAATAACAAAGAATGATAGTTTAGTTATAAATTATTAAAACGTTCACGGTAGAATAATATAAGAGTTTCATCGGAAAATTAAGTAAAGCACGACTGCAGTAATTATTTATCGTATATTAGAATGAATAAATGACGTATGCACATCGGTCGATACATTTTAAAAGAAAATAAGTCATCAAGAAAATAATACCAAACCTTATTTTTCGAAAAACGACAAAGACTAGATCAAAGCTCAGACTAGTGAAGAACTATCTCAAAATCATAACATCTTATGACCCTTCAGTCTGGATATTTTTTAGTAAGTAAAGAAAGTATAGAAGGGTTAGTCGATATAATGGTTGATCGAAGAAAAGTGGATGGATATTATAAATAAAGACCTATAAGAGTAGATAGAAAATTGTACTAATGGATTGACAAATACGAATAGAGAGGCATAGAATAGCCCGTGACCACAAAGAAGTCAAAAAAATATTTTCTAGTTATACTCAGTGGCGTATCTATCCTAGGATTTAAACTTCCCACTTCAATTTTCCTATATTCTATGTATGATATAGACGGTTGTGGGGAGAGAGAAGGATAAAATATTAGGTTAGTACTTATGACATTTTTTATAACTCATAAGTTCAGTATTAAATATTATAACCACCCCCCCCCCCAAAAAAAAAAAAAATATCAAAATATACAACATACTATATATAAATATTATTGTCATTTTTAATAATTAATATATTACATAATAAAAACATTCCAAGGTTAAATGAAATATTGTACACTGTTCAGACGAATAGCACACAAATTATTAAACTCAAATACGTATAATTAATAAGTGTTAAAACAAAATCATATAATATTCAAAAATTATTTTCAGAATATAACCAATATGATTTTTATTATCAGCATACATTAAGCTTTTAAGTGTTGGTTGTTTTAAGAGTACTATTTTGTTTAGTTTCAGCGAATGTATTGTTTATACAATTTTACTACACTGATTGTTACAATAAAACTAATTTTTAAAAACTACTCAAGTACTTAAAACTAAGTTTTTTCTTGTTCTATAATCTATGATGGACGTAAACGTATACAAAGAGATTATGTAGTCATGGGAGCATCTCGAGGTTGTGAAAGAAGAGATCAGCAATCTTCTATACACCAATAACTGCATTGATAGTGTTGAAATTTTTGCACAATCATCACGCGTTTAAGGCACAATAAAACAGCTGTTTTTTTTATCAAATTGCTTAATCAGTACTCTCTAAAATTGTTATAGACACTAACACGTATAAAACCACACTATGTGTTTATGTAGTGTATACGGCTACCAAAAATGTAAAATTTTGCTGTTAGAATTGGACAGAAATTGCACAATTTGCACAGAGAAGATCGGAAATATCTGCATTTATTTTTTTTATTTTAAAACATTTAGAAATAAGATTTCAAAATTCTGAAAATTCGGAATTTTTCCCAACTCTGCAAAGATTTGATAAAATTTAAGTTTGGTGGCCAACGATGTATTAATATTTTATATATTAGACAAATGTCAAACGCACAAGTGCAATTTTTTCACAATCTAACAGTTTCCATTAGAAAGTAGAATATTTTGTTATTGTACTACTGTCGGAATTCATTAGTAACTTAAGTAGGTTTCAGCTAGTGATTTACTACTAAAATAAATAACTACAAATAAATTTAAAAATGTGTATAAGGTTATTTTTAATTTGGTATATGAACAACATTTTTATTACTTACAGAATAGAATAACTACTTAAAAAAAACAACAGTTATACAGTACGTTATTACATTAAATAAGACTTAAAATGATAAAAATAGTTTTTAAAAAAATACTTAGATTTAAATCTACGGATAGCGTTAAAAAAATAACCAAATCGTATTCTAATGATGTTTATTTTAAAGAATAATGTTTTTGAAATGCACATGAGTATAACAACCTATATATATTTTTCTTGGATCTAGATTTTAGGGATAGTTATGTACTAAAAGCAAATACACAAATAGTTTTTGAAAAAGTTATTGTAATGCCAATACCAAATTTGTATTTTAAAGTACCTTATAACTTGTAGCCTCCTCTCCCTCCCTAGACGTATAAAACTAATATATAAAATATATATTATTATCCTATTATAATGTAATTTTACTGTTTATATGATTAACATGACAAGAATATGTACATAAAAAAAAGTTAAGTTCTGAATAAGAATAAACATATTCTCATTTCATTTAAATATTTTTTACAAACAAGTTGATACTTTGTTTTATTTTAATGGTGGGATATTTTTCTTAGCTGGCAGTATTGTATTATATTAGGAATTTGTTGACAACATTATTGTTTACCAATTACCGACCAAATTTGTCCACGCAGCTACTTTTATTAACATAAAAATATGATTTGTATTATAATTTTAAAACTTATTTGAAAAACAATACTATTAATCAGCAATAATTTTATTAAATTGTTCTTAAATTATGTATGGCAATAGGCTTACGTTTTCATTAATTTTGAACTACAAATATTAATTAATATAATTAATTATAATGAATTTTGTTTTATAATTTTGAATAAATGACACAAAATAACCAAAATATTTGTTTTTTAGGGTATTGTAATCCGATTTACATTCATATAAAATATACATTTGTATAATAATATTATAACATGATATTTTTAAAACTTAACGTATAATATTGCATACCTGGATTTGAAGCTATTGACAGCACTTATACGGTTAATCGATTCATAATTTAAATAGTACTATCATAGGTTTAATGAGTTATCGTTTAAGTTTTAAGATTAATGCTTTAAAAACTACTGAACGCATTAATTAAACACATCGGTGCTATACTATATCAAGATTAGTCCATGATAGAGAACACTATAATTATCAAAAACTACACTGTTAAACGTGTCGATTAGAACAACATAGATTGCTGCATTTTCAGTATAAAATACACAGCTTCGGCATGTTAAGCATCAATCATCCAACAGACATCATTCATTCTATTATTCATTCTTGATTTCAATAAAATGGCCGGCGTAACTAAGATTTTGGTAGCAGTAGCTATTGCTTTGATATCCAAGGTTTGTGCATACAAGACTACAGTCTATATTAAATACCAGTAAAATTAACAATTTGTCATTTATTATTTAGGTTCAAGCTAGTCCGTGTGGATGTAGTTTACCATTGTTGCCAGCTGCTCCTGCTCCATTCCTCTTCCCTTTCCCATCGCCATGCGCTGCTCCGTTACCTCTTCCATTGCCACTTCCACTTCCAGCTTCATGCGCACCAGCTGGTCTTAGTCCGTCACTTTTAAGCCTATTGCCACTTCTGGCCCCACCTTCAGCACCACTCCCGTTGCCGCTTCCGGCTCCATTACCACTTCCACTTCCGGCACCATGCTCCCCAGCTGGTCTTAGCCCAGCCCTACTCAGTCTTCTGCTTCCAGCTTTGCTGTCATCCGTCGCCGCCCCAGCTCCGTGCGCTGCTCCAGCCTTACCAATTCCTGCCCCACTGCCGACACTCATTCCCGTGCCACTCACCCCATTGCCACTTCCCGCACCGGCTCCAGTCGCCCCAGTCGCCCCAGCCGCCCCAGCCCTTAGCCCATCGCTGTTGAAACTTTTGTTGCCGCTTTTACTGTCTGCATCTGCTCCAGCCCCATGCGCTGCTCCATTACCTCTTCCATTGCCACTTCCACTTCCTGCACCGTGCGCTCCAGCTGGTCTGAGCCCAGGTCTTTTAAGCCTGTTGCCACTTTTAGCTGCACCCCCAGCACCATGCGCTGCTCCATTGCCACTCCCTCTTCCGTGCGGTTGCTAGTTAATGCGTTATAATTGTCATAAAAACGAAAAATGCATTGTTAAAATTTTTTTTAAAAAATGTTGGTTAATATTCAAATAAAATCTATTTATTTTCCACATTTATTTCATGTTATTGTACTAAACTATTTGAAATTAATAACTTCGTTGTCTATTACTGGACAAAGAAAATCTAAAGGAGCTAAATAGTATTCCAGTAGTACATTTTTCTACTCAGCATACATATCGCGACTGCAAATTTGTTTTATCGAGTTCATTTTTTGTGAATTACATGTCATCTGTTTCAATTTTAAATGACAATTAATACTAGATTTTTTATAGCACTTTTAATATAAAACTATTTCCTCCTCTTCAAGAAGAAACACATAAATCATGAATGTTTTACGGCACCAACTCACTTCTAATCTTAGCTGAACATATCTCACGATCAAATGTTTCTCCTTATTGACGAAGGAGTAATCAATCGATAATGGCATATGAAATATAAATAAGCGTAAAATAATGTTTAAATGCAACAAATTTTGATCTTACTATAATTAGTGTTGACTCTATCAACTTTTAAAATCTAAATGGTAACATATTAACAACATAATTAGTAACATAATTTCCTGAACATTTTGAATGGTCGATAACCAGTTTTGGTTAATTACTTTTGGAGTAACTAATGTTTAAAATTTAGGGCGGGGGATAAGTACGGGAGAGTATTGCACGACGATAAAAATAATACTACATTTTCCCTAAGGTTTAATAACTTTATAAGTAATTATCCAAAATTAGGTAACGACGAGTCAAACATTTCAGCAAATTATTCCTAATTCTAAAAGTTAATAAAATATTACGTTATTATTGAAGTTGAAAAAGCTCTTGAAAATACTTAATAAGGTATATATTTATTTATTAGTTTTAAAATAACACAAACAAAAATGTTGTCAAAAAGGTAAACTACAAAATTGCAAATATTTTCGGAGAAAATGAGAGTCTTTTCCTTAATAAATCACTTTTTATTATTTTAATATTTTTATTTTTATTGCAAGTGTTATTTGTTCTTTTTTTTTTTTTTTTTCGTCACCCATTATTAAATTAATGTATAAAATTAGACATATCGTATGAAATCGACATTTTATTGTGCATGATAATAAAGACGAATGTAATAACTGTTATTGCATTGTATATAATGTATTTATTTACTGTTATGAGAAAATTTCATGATTTTTTTGTGTCTACACATCAGTATATGAATAATTGTTTATACTTCTTAAGTAAATAGTCCGCATGTAATGTATGAAACAATAATGGCATTCGTAAACAATAAACATTTTGTAGTTACTTAAAATAGGTATGGAAAAAACTATGTTTTAGTCTGTACGTCTTTTATTTATTTTAATTTTTTTTTTACTTTACACTTAAGCAGTAACCAGTTAGCAGAGTCTACAAGATTATTGATATCTTATTAATATATAGGTACTATTCTGCATAGCAGCTAATATTTTATTTAATGATCTAAATTTATTGTGTATATTTAATTTTACTCAAAATAAAACAATTAAATAATGTAGAGAATTTCAATTTGATTTTAAATGCTCGTTAATTATAACGAGCAATGTATACACGTCGTTCTAATATATGATAAATAATTACTGTAGTCGTGAATTACTTAAATTTCCGATGAAACTCTTATATTATTCTACGACGAAAGTTTTAATAATTAATAAACTATCATTCACTGTTATTAAGTTAATTATACACGCTATTCGGATGTATTCGGCACGACCTAGATTAATAGAGACACAACTGTGAAGGTCAAAAATTGCTTTTTCTACATATTAACTACATAGTTATTCAGGGCCGTCACGAGGGCTGAACCTAAAAAGCGGTATCGACGTTGTCGTAGACGGGCGACCATACTGAATTTATTATAAACATTTGAACTAATATCTAGAACATAGATTTGAATGTTAAATGTATTTATCTCCCTAAAGATCATCATATTTTCTATGTCAAAAATTCATTATAGAGCATATAGTTTTCTGTCAATAGTTTGTACTTAAATTTTGTCTTACTTTAGATGGTCACTTCTAAAAACAGTGATAAACGATCAATACAAGAACGATGGAAACTATGATAGTGTTCGAGAATGTTTACATTAGAAGTATGAGTTAGGGACGACTAAGCCAAATTTGCAGATTTGCTTCTCTATAACTTTGATTACTGGGAATGAAAAAATATTATAAATAATTAATTTAATAACGAGCACAAATCAACTTTTTAAAAAATAAGGTCAAATTGCTTAAATTAGTAAACAAATCAAATAAATATAATAATATCTTACGACGAAGGTGTAATTTGAATGAATATTTATTATTTATATTTATATTGTTTTAGTATTACGGAATACGGATCCACGCAGTATTTGAAAGAGGAAGGGATAAATAAAAACATTATTATTCAATAAAACATGAGTTTATAAACGATTGATTGATAAAAAACCGAAAATACCTACATTACATTTTCAATCAAGTCCAATAATTATTAATTTAAAATTTAAAATTTTGTTGGGTTTACTATTTCTTTTTTTACATTGTTATTTGTTATTATACATCATTCCAGGGTTCTTATCAGTAATTTACTGTTGATTTACTCAAAATTATTATTAAATAATCATTTATTTGCTATTGATTATTTTCCAGGGTTACCATTTTATTGACTGATTGCATATTATGGTTTATTACTTGTAATATTTGTCTGATGTTACCAACGATGAGATCAAAGAGTTTTTCGGAAAGTGGGGTGTCATTGTTAATTTAGAAGTTCCCTTTGACAAAATGAAAAATCAGCGTAAAGGCTATTGTTTCATTACTGACGAAAATAGCGACAAAGTTCAAGATCTGTTAAAGATCGCAAAAGAAAATATTAAAGGCAAAGAAGTTGATGTAAAAAAAGCTAATCCCAAAACATCAATTGGTCGAGGTGCTGTTCGCGGAGCTTATTCACCTCACGGCTATGATAACTACGGCGGTGCTGCATACCCTGGATATGAAGCTGACCACTATGGAAGTTATGGCTATGTGGGGTATAATTACGGTTATGGTTATGAAGCACCTCCAGCTCCAGTTTATGCTGCCAGAGGACGAGCTGCATGTAATGGCGTCGGAAAGGCAAGAGGTCCGTCCCGAAGACCACGAGCCAGATATACTCCATATTAATCAATTACACCAACCTGAATTAAGATGCATATAGATGTTTATAGCTCCTATCAAAATAAAACATTTTAAATTATCGTTGATGAATTTTAGTATAGTCGGTACAAACGACCATTAGTGACTTGGTCTATTGAATTCTAGAAACAACCGGTTTAATAGTTCTAAAAATATTGTGTTTATCAATGAATTGTTAATATTATAATAACTAAAAACTATAAGAGTGTTTCCACCGCCTGACGGTTCTGAGAATAACGGCGGTGGCCGCCCTTTTTTATAAATATTAATACCATGATTCCCGCTTCAAGGAAAAATTCACAGTTCTATGTATTTGTGGTTGTCGGTTTTCCTTGATAACTGAGTCCCGTGGAAGGGTATCTAATAATCATTTGCATTTCATTTCTCGAACTGTCAAAGTCGAAGAAATATAACAGCGTATTTTGATTGTAAGTATTCTTATTTATGATATAATTTATCAGTTTTGTTAGCACTTATCCAATTTGTTTGTAAATCTGTGTATAAGTTTTATGAAAAATTAAAATATGGCTTACAAAAACTGTTAGAATAGAACTAGGTCATTAATGTGGCAAATACTCACCAACTCAAAGAAGTCATGCAATTTGAAATCTATAATTATCGACTTTAAATATAATTTTATCCTAACTGAAATTTTTCGTTGTTACATATGCAAGCCGAGCATGAACAGTTTAGCAAGTTTATATTTTTAGTTTCCATCGTTAGATAAACAAAACAAAGACATGGCTCACAATTGCATTTAATGTTCAAATGCTCAACCTAACCTAAAGCAGTCATAACTCTGTTTAAATAGCCGCAAAGTCAATAGGATACGAAAAATATGTATAGCCCGTGCCAAAATAAAACATTTCAAATTATTGCTCATCTCAAAAGTTTGTGTTTAGATTTTTTATATTTTTCCATTACATGTATAAGATGTGGGCGGCTAAGTTAAATTTGCGCTTTTTTCTCTCTAAAATTTCAAATTTTCCGCTGTACCTACCTAAATTTCTAGATAGTACAACACTATTATAACCAATCACACTTTTCTCTATTATACTATTTATTTACAATACCGAATATTTTATTCATTCACAGTGAATCAACAAAATATCTTCGCATAGACTCACAATTATATTTTTAATAATAAGGTAGATACGATTAAGGTTGATCGTCTGTCTTTCCTAATAATTCATTACCGTCATGGCCCATTGAAGTTGGATCAGATAAAGTAATTTGAAAATTTACAACGGCCAAAATAATTCACCATAAATTTGTATTTCTAGTAAGAGTTTCCTTCCGGGATTTGCATTCTGTATTAATTCATGTAAAAACCATTAGTTATTGGCCCTTTGTTTTCTACAATTTAAATTCGTTTACAAGTTTAGTATCAAAAAACCTTTAAAAAAAACAAATACAATAATCCATCAAATCTATATATGAATATCTAGCTATTCCAACTAGTTTCCACTCTTTCGAGTAAAAAAGTTAATAGATTTTTAATTGATTTTGAATAACAGCTATTCTGTAGAAATAAATCATGTACATTTAATGTATGTGAATAACTAAATCATTTTTAAAAATTACATGGGTACTTTTTGCCACATATTTTTCCAGTCTAATATCAAGAGTCATCAGGGAATAGAAGATGGATACCACAATTAAAGATGCAAAATATATTAACTATAAACTTATGAAATTGCTTGGATTTTATCAGCTACTGAACCCTAGAGAATCATATACGGTTTGGGGTTACAACGTTTATCAATTCCTTTACACTTTTCCGGTATTCATCGAGTTGATCTTCATCGTTTTTGGCATAATTGGTCTTTACTATTGGTTAAATGATTTGAATCTCTGTGCTCAACTTATAATGTTTACATCAGCTTGTTACATGACAATGTTCAAAGCCATTAGATTTGCCCAGAAGTACCATGACTTTAAAGAATGTTATGAGGTGATGAAAGAAGACTTCTTGCCTTACAGAAATTACAGCAAAAACATTTACCAGTTTTACAAAAAAAGATGTATTAAGGTCACTAATGTTTATGCGTTATCATGGTTTTGTGTGTGGGCAGCTTGGTTAATTAGCCCGATTTTTATCAAGGAATATTCTGCAAAAAACTTGGAAGGTGAACTACTGTCCTGCCGAAACAATGTTGTTAATGTGTTGTTTAGTCCTATATCGGTGGTTCATTACAACAACTTTTATATTCTATTTTACACCTTGGAAGCGATCGTTGTCACGCACATAATGGTATTCTATTTTGTGTATGAAATGGTCTTGACCACTTTTTGTTGGATGATATCAGCTCAACTAAAAACCGTTGCTTCTGTGTACAGCACTTTTGGATACAACAGCTCATCGACATCCGACAGTGAGTCATTAAATTTGTTTCGTTTATTAAAAATATTATGATAAAATTGAATAATTTGTATTTATTTAAGTCGGGAGCAATAAAATGACCGAAGTCGAAAAATTTGTTAATATTATTTCTAATCACCAAAGAGTTATAAAGTAAGTGATTTATTTATATGGAATTATATTATGCCATAAATCTAATGATATAATTATCACCACTTATTATAATTGTAATCGTTTCCCACCAGTAAGTCACCCAAAATAGACTAGAGTTTACCTATAATATTATTACAGAGACACCTAAAAAAAGTTTGTATATATGCTATTCAATACACAATAAATAATTTAAATACGCAGTCAAAATTCATATAAATAGAAATAATTTTTTTCAGAGTATTAAACACGTTTTACGGTATTATTCGACCACTCCTTCTTACTCAAATAGGATGTAGTGCTACCATATTCACTATTTGTACATATATGTTTGTTTGGGTAAGATTTTACAGATGCCGTAAGGGCGTATCTATGGAATATTGAGTTATGTATATTGTGGAACAACACATAAATGTCCTAACTATGCTAATGCCAAATAATAAAATTAACAATGGCATTGTTTAAGAGTATTATGATAAAATTTAAAAAACTATATTTTTATAGAACTGGTTTAATGATTCTTTCGTGTTATCTCTGGTGTCTGCAAAATGGATTTCATCAGCTATGATTATGATGGCCCACTTGTTCATTTCTTGTTATTTCTTTGGATATCTCGATGATCAAGTAAATAGTATACAATAGTTGTTCAATTGTTAGATTAGACTAGAGATACTTTATAGTATACTTTTATTTTTGCATAACTCATTCTCTATTCTCGATAATATTACTTACCGGCACTCTGTGAATTAAAAAAATGTATGAGTAGTTTATTTGTTATTTTATTCGTATAAATATACTGGTTTTTGTCGAAAAATGTTGCATTAAAATTATTCTGTGAATAAATACATTTTTACTTTCATTAATACAATACTTAATTTGTTTTTTTTTTATAAGTACTATAGCGCCTACATTGTACGATTTATTTGTATATATTTATTTATTTTTATAATGTCGATTTATTTTTGAGTGACTTTTAAGTTGTAATATTAAGATTGTATATGTTTACAGGTAAAATCTATGAATTTTGCCTTGTACAGTAGCAACTGGACTGAAAAGGATATCCAATTTCAAAAGTCGATTTTGTTGGCCATGAATATGAACAGTGCTATTAATAATATTTCAATGAAATTAACACCTACTAAAATCGTGAATCTAGAGATGTTAGCAAGTGTAAGATTTAAAAAAATCAGTTACTAATTAATGAAGCCTTAATATGTATGTGTAAAGAACGTAATGACTAATGGTCCATTCTATTTTAACACTTTAATCAACTATTTAATTTATATTCTTTATTTGTTGCAAAATAATTCCTATAGATTCTTTAGCCACTAAACATGCATACAGATTATTGTAAAATATAGATTACTAATAATATATAGACGCTTTAGTACGTATTGTTATATTAGAAACTAAACTAATTTCTTCCAAAAATATAGCAACAATTATTTGTCTCATAAAACTTCAATATAATATTATTTGTCCATGCATTTACAGGTTATGCACGTATCCTATTCGATTGTGTCGGTTTTAGCAAAGAAAGAATTATCCGACGGCCGTTAACAAATTACAGAATTATAGGAATAATAATCACTCGATAATGCACACTCACGTGGAACTAACTAAATCATAACACTATGTACAAATTGCAACATAATTTATTAAAAGAAAAACCATTTCATCAATAATGTATTTTTTTCTAATAATATTGTATGTGATAGATATTTTAAAATATTTAGGCTTGATTTTTACAAACTATTTGTTGTTATATTTATGTTGATGTAACGAATAAAGTAATAATTTGTAAGCTCAATAATATTATCGTGTTATTAGTGTTATTACAGGTTTTTATTCCATTACCTAATGTTTCGATATTACTCCGATATTAAAAAAAAAATGTAATACTTAACAGACAAATTTGTTTCTAAATATTAAATTGAATTTTAACATCAAAAGGATATACCATCCTGAATTAAGATGCATATAGATGTTTATAGCTTTTATCAAAATAAAAAAATTTTAATTATGATGGATTTTAGTATAGTTGGTGCAAACGACTGTTAGTGACTTCGTCTATTAAATTCTACAAACAAACGGTTTAATAATTTGTAGAAATATTGTGTTTATCGATGGATTATTCATATTATCATAACTATAGCAGTGTTTTCTTCACTTAAAGGTTCTGAGAATAACGGCGGTGGCCACCCTTTTTTTAATAATAATGCTTTGACTATTTTTACTTTGATATTGATACTTCAAAGAAAAATCCACAGTTCTATGTATTTGTGGTTGTCGGTTTTCCTTGATAACTGAGTCCCGTGGAAGGGTATCTAATAATCATTTGCATTTCATTTCTCGAACTGTCAAAGTCGAAGAAATATAACAGCGTATTTTGATTGTAAGTATTCTTATTTATGATATAATTTATCAGTTTTGTTAGCACTTATCCAATTTGTTTGTAAATCTGTGTATAAGTTTTATGAAAAATTAAAATATGGCTTACAAAAACTGTTAGAATAGAACTAGGTCATTAATGTGGCAAATACTCACCAACTCAAAGAAGTCATGCAATTTAAAATTAAGTATATCAAATCTGTAAATAACAGTTTTAAATTAATAAATAAACCTAACCCATCTAAAGCAGTCATAACTCTCTGGAAATAGCCACAAAGCCAATAGGATACGTAAAAATATATATAGCCCGAGTAAAAATTAAACATTTAAAATTATTTTTGAAGCAACGACCAAATATTTCCAAGTATTTCCAGTACATTTGATGATAGCACAAATAGTCATTACAAAAATATCTAAGCTTATTACACTTTTCGGGATACGAATAATATTATCATTACTATTCAGTTATTAAATGCCAAAAGTCGGAAAAAATAGTCTGTAATGGGTAGGTTACGTTCATTTTGTTATGTTTTGTATACTTCACACTTTTCAGATATAAAAGTCCATGTTAAATAATTAATTTAAAAAAATAAAGTTTACATAAAATTTAAACCATAACATAAATTTAAACGTCAAAAATAAGTTTTTGAGCATATAGATTTCTGTCAAAAGTTTGTATTTAGATTTTTTCTTACTTTGTATGTTTACATTACAAGTATAGGATGTGGGCAGCTAAGTTAAATTTGCGGGTTTTCTCTCTAAAATTTGGAGTTTGCCGCTGTACCAACTTAAATTTGTAGTTGTACAACTATTATAATTTATAACCAATCACACTTTTCTCTATTATACTATTTATTTACAATACCAAATATTTTATTCATTGACAGTGAACCAACAAAATATCTTCGCATACACTCACTGATGATATAATTAAGAATAGGGTAGATACGATTAAGGTTGATCGTCTGTCTTTCCTAATAATTTATTACCGTTATGACCAATAGACGTTGAGTCAGAATCAGTAATTTGAAAATTAAACAAGGTCAAAGTAAGATTTTAATATGAATATTTTTTTTCAGCCTTGAGGTCAATTTAAATAAAATAAGAGTCAATTCACACTTTCTTTACTCGTTCACTAATCAATAATCATACATACCAAAACTGGGAATGAAAAAATATTATAAATAATTAATTTAATAACGAGTGAACCAATTAATTTAAAATTTTTTATTTTGTTGTGTTTACTTTACTTTACAATTGTTGTTTGTTTGTTATTTATATTATGTACAGATCGTTTCTGATATCCAATAAAATAATTAGCTTCAAACAATTATTAAAAGCTAATGTTGTGTATATGATTTTGGACTGTCAATCTGTAGTTTCAAAAATTGTTACATTTAAGAAATGTTTAACTGATGCTGGAAAAATGTATCATTTCAAACCTTTTTAAGGAGTCACACAAAAAGCTGATTTTATTTTTATTTGCATAGATTTTTCCATCCATTCATTCCATAATTTTTAATAATTATTGAAAAATACTAAAAAACTAAACTTTAAACATTCACATAAAGAACAACTAATTGGTCTATCAAAAAATTATACGCTCAAGCATACATAATATTCTCCTATATTTTTCAATAAAAATAATTAGTGATTCTAACACTGTAACATCCTTTACAGTATTGATTTGCGCAACCTGGTTTTACACTACAAATTACAGGTGGTCAAGGGCGCCCGCAGGTGAAAATTCAAAGGCGGGGACCGCCTATGATTTTGTAATAGATTTTACAAATTTTGGTTATTGGATTTACATTTTTAACTTACGGAAAAGCTAGGGGGGAGTTGTCCCCTCCCTGCCTTTCCCCATGGGCGCCCTTGCGGGTGGATACTGTATTTTAATAAAAAACATTACAGCCAATACATTTTAGAACATATTTCTTAAGCCGTTTTTTTATAAATTTTGTCATGGCCAAAAAAAATAATTACAGCCTACTTTTTTACAGAAATTTTAACATATCAATAAGAAGTAGAACACTTTATACAGAACTTTTTTTTTTTAAATATAAACTATAAATCTAAGTGACGGTTTAACTTCTCTGCTGTTGTGTCATTTCCAGCATGTTGCTCGTTTTAAAACATCGTATTCAATAGTCATAAGAGAATCGAAGATGGATGCCAAAAAGCAAGATGCGAAATATATTAACTATAAACTAATGAAATTGCTTGGATTTTATCAGCTACTGAACCCTAGAGAATCATATACGGTTTGGGGTTACAACGTTTATCAATTCCTTTACGCTTTTCCGGTACTCATCGAGTTGATCTTCATTGTTTTTGGCGTAATCGGTCTTTACTATTGGTTAAATGATTCTAATAACTGTGCTCAACTTATATTATTTACAACAGCTAGTTACATGACAATATTCAGAGCCATTAGATTCGCCCAGAAGTACCATGACTTAAATGAATGTTATGAGGTGATGAATGAAGACTTTTTGCCATACAGAAATTTTAGCAAAAACATATACGAGTTTTACAAAAAAAGATGTATTAAGGTCACTAATGTTTTTGCGTTATCGTGGTTTTGTTTGTGGGCAGCTTGGTTAATTAGCCCGATTTTTATCAAGGAATATTCTGCAAAAAACTTGAAAGGCGAAATACTGACCTACCGAAACAATGTATTTAATGTGTTGTTTAGTTCTATATCGGTAGCTCACTACCACAATTTCTATGTGCTTTTTTACTGCCTGGAAGCGATCGCCGTTACCCACATAGTAGTATTCTATGTTGTGTATGAAATGGTCTTGACCACTTTTTGTTGGATGATATCAGCTCAACTAAAAACCGTTGCTTCTATGTACAGCACTTTTGGATACAACAGCTCATCGACATCCGACAGTGAGTCATTGAAATGGTTTCGTTTATTTAAAATATAATTATATAATTGAAGATTTTGTATTTATTTAAGCCAAGAGCAATAAAATCACTGAAGTTGAAAATTTTGTTAATATTATTTCTGATCACCAAAGGATTTTTAAGTAAGTGATTTATTTCAATATAGTACGCATATGGAATAACAATATGCCATAAATCTTTATTTAATTTTTTTCCCAAATAATCGCTAACCTCACCATTATCACCACTTATTATAATTATTAATTATAATTGTTTTCTTAAATGGACTTGAGATGAACTCAAAAATGAAAAAGTCCGTATATGCTTTTGAATACCCAATTTTAATGTAAGATGCTGTCAACATATGTATTAATAAAATATATTTTTTCCAGAGTGTTATATACTTTTTATGGTATTATTCGACCACTCCTTCTTACTCAAATAGGGTGTAGTGCTACCATATTCACTATTTGTACATATATGTTTGTTTGGGTAAGATTTTACAGGCGTCGTAAGGGTGCATCTTTGGAATATTGAGTTATGAATATTGTGGAACAACACATAAATGTCTTAACTATGCTAATGCCAAATAATAAAATTAACAATGGCATTGTTTAAAAGTATTATGATAAAATTAAAAAAACTATATTTTTATAGAACTGGTTTAATGATTCTTTCATGTTATCGCTCGTGTCTGCAAAATGGATGTCATCAGCTTTGATTATGATGGCCCATTTGTTCAAATCCTGTTATTTCTTTGGATATCTTGATGTACAAGTAATAAATGCTACTAAGTAAATAGTATATTTAATGATTAAATTAGACTAGAGTCACTTTACAGTAGGTATACTTAATATTGCATTAAAATTATTTCGTGAAAATAAATATGTTTTTATTTTCAACACTACGTTATTAGATTTGTTTTAGTTATTTAATCCTCTAGTCTAGATTGTACAAAAGCGCAATTATTTTTAATTATTTTTAAGTGTTATTTATGTCATTTTTATGTTTTAACATTAAAATTTTACATGTTTACAGGTAAAATCTATGAATTTTGCTTTGTACAGTAGCAACTGGACTGAAAAGGATATCCAATTTCAAAAGTTAGTGTTGTTGGGCATGTATATGAACAGTGCTATTAATAATATTTCAATAAAATTAACACCGACTAAAATCGTGAATCTAGAGATGTTCGCAAATGTAAGTTTTAAAAAATTAGATACTATTGGTAAATTATATTTAAACACTTTAATATTTAAGTAAGCCAATTTATATTATTTATTTGTCACAAAGTAATTTCTTTCGATTCTGTGTGACTAAACATGCACATAGATTATGT